TGGGCTTGAGGAGCTAGCTAAATGTAAGCGATAGCATGCCTATTTGCTAAAATGATCATGCTAAAGTTTCTACATTTTAAGTTTACAGTGTTTCCAAACTAATGCGTCAATGTTTTTATACTGCAGGGCTGAATGCCGTTTATATGGGGGAACAGGATGAATGTATACTTACTATTATTGTCTTTGTGAGTAAATTAGTATACCTATGTTATAATTTAGCCCAAAGCACTGCTGTACCTTGGTCTTTATAGATCTTTTGACAGGGCGGAAGACCATTAGTCCTGTTTCTGTTTGTGAATTACAAAGGAAGGACAAGTGTCCTTCCACAAGGTCGAACATGTGCACCTCACACAAGCAAACACAGGTCATTCTTGAATCCCTAAGCTCTGCAAACATTTCCCAGCGTCTGCGTCACTGCATTACTTTACACACAGCTCATAAAACCCTGATTACACACTCTGTCTTATCAGGCCTCAGCCCGATGATGTAATCTGAGGCTGTAACTGAAATGCAAACATAGCAGCGGGAACACGCAAGGTGTGCTTTAGACAAGGTGCAGTGGCTTCCTGTTATGGAGTGGTTGGTCAGACAGTTAAGATGGGTCATTAAAACTGTCTTGTCTGCTGTGTTGTTAAGAGTCTGAGCTGACTAGACTGTTTGTATTGCCAACATGTAATAAGTGCAGTTAAAGGGCCAACACCAAACATTTAATGTTAGTGTTTGGTGTTCCCTCACTGAACATGCTCTCTGTTGTCTGTGCAAACACGAGACTCAGCCTTCAAACTCCACTTTGTGCAAACACACCAAAGGTGAGCAGGAAATCCGATCTCGCATGATGTCATTGCTGCTTTGGTTAACTCCCGGCTTTATTTGAACTGGAGCGCCAGTTTTTGTGCTGAGCTCTAGCTTTCCTTGTAATAAAGAAAACCCCAACTGTAAATCATGAAAACATCCAGCTTCCTGCTTACAAAGTATGACTAGTATAATTCTGGGTTATGGTGAGGAAGGAAAGTATGTGTTTGTTTGTGTCTTGAGTGTTTACTCTGTGAAATATGATTGCTACTCTCAAAATACAGGAGGATGGCTATATATATTTTTTTGACCTGGAAAAGACACTAGAGTAAGACATGTAAAGCGCCACATAAGCATGGGCTGTGTTAAATTTGTCACGCAAAGCTTTTTACTTCCCCTTTTTGTCTTTCTTGCACTTATTCCTAATTCCCAGTTTTAGTTGTAGGACTTGTTTATCCGTCTATCATAGCATTTCCCCTAAAGGTTCAGACTCATTGTCTGTGGTTGATCATCATTCATTTAGTTTTGTCACATGTACTAATCTTATAAAAACAGGGATCTTGCATCATCTTCCCATCCAAATGTTTATTAGTCATTTCATGAGGCACATTGGCAGTAGTGTTTGTCTACTGTGGATCGTTTCTGTTGTCACCAAAAATCAACACCCAATTTGTCTGCAGTTAAACCTTTGTGTCCAGAGGAAGGACTTTTAAAGAGCAACTAATGTACTCTGACTCAAACAATGCGGCAGACTGTACACGCCTGTCATGTGCTAATCTTTTTGACAGCTAAGACTGGAGGCGACAGAGTCACTGTGAAGGGAAGGTCAACTGATTGCCTCAGAAACCGTTTTGAGTAACTTTTCCCTTCAAAGCTGATGAAGGAAAGAGCTGTGTGTTCAGTCTCGCAGAAACTTGACTCCCCAGCCTCAGTGGAAATTTAATCATGTTTGCGAGTTTGTGTATGCAAGAGCGTGCCACTGTTAGGACAGGATCAGAAAAGTGACCTTTTAAGACCATATCTTCTTCTAAACACAAAGCCTCACCATGAAAAGGAGATGTTTGATTTATGCATAAGATAGAAGAGTTATTTCCATGACGTTGAGGAGTCCACAAGGTATCAGGTACTCAGGAGATGAGTGATGTTGTTAAACTGAGCATGTCTGCCTACAGCTCTAAGTGCTCTTTGTGTGTGTTTGATATGTCAGGGCAGGCTTAGAATGATTTTACCCTTGTGAGAAAAACAAATAAAGTTGTTATAAAAATACTCACTTTCTTTGGACAGACAGGAGACAACATGCCTCAGTGAGGCTTGTATGATAAGCTGCCAGTTTTTAGCAAGACTTGTCTACAGCCATGTCAGGTTCTATAAGCCGAAGCTTCAGCCTATGTTAGCATGCTTTTTCAGCATTTAAGATATGTGTAAGCCAAGTGGCAACCTCCTGTGTAAAAATGAAATGAAGCTAAGTGCAAAATCCTGCAGTTTGTGAAGGTCTGCTTGAAGTCACAAACACACCTATTAGAGCTAGAGCTCTAGCTCTTAGTCTGACGTTAGGTTGACTGAAATTTAGGCTGAGTCAGCACTTTCAGCATCGACTGGACTCCAAAGTCCCCAACAGCAGCAGATGGGAGACATCTCTCAAGCTTGGTCCATTATTATTTACCGTCTATGGTGTTAGCATTCTGTTTCCTAGTTGGCTATAGAGGCCGTTGCGGTTGACGGGTATATCATTAGCTTTGTAAATATTTGGTCGTTATATGACGTGCTGGTCCATTATACACTTTCAATCTGATTATGTGGCTAGATGTTCAGATATGAGCGACTTCAGCGTCAATTCAAGCGATCATTAAGCAACATCACAATTCAGGTCATGATGTCGTACCAAATATATCAGCACGACTTTGAGTGTCATATCTATTTTATTCTACAGTTCTACATGAAGCATTTAGCACTCGACAGATAAAAAAAAAACATCCAATTATATTTTTTACGTTTTTTTATCGTTCATTTAGCTCCATCAAAACAATTTCTTCTGACAATTGAATGAAACTTGAATTTGGCAAAAAGTAACATTTCCTGTACAACTATACATTGTGTACGTCTATGCTACCTCAGACCATCTATTTTGTATAATGTACATTTATCTATAAGTGTTGGAGTGTGGGAGTGTTCTTAAAGACTTGACTGCTTTCAAACCTGAAAAAGATCTGCTTTACTGTCGCTGAGATCATTTCTATCACTTTCTCACTACTTGCACCTTCACATGGAGAAAGAAAACAAGCTTTGAGTTGCATGTTTAAGCTGCACGATGTTGTAGCCATGTTTGCTGAGTCATCATGGTCCAATCGTCAACTTTCTGTCTATATTTGTTTAACCTCTCGATAGAGCTAGCATGAGTCACCAAGATAATGCTCTGAAATATTTGAACAGTGGGTGACAATCTTATTTCCCAGGTTGCAACTAAGGCTGTGGGTCACGCTCTTCAGTTATTTTGTTTGCAACAGCACATTAAAAGTGTCTTTGTTACGGCTCAAGTTTATAGGGTCAAGAAGAAGTCGTGATCATGTGGAAATCCTGACTGGCATTTTGATAATTCAGTCCTGTAAAGTACATTATCTTTGGCGCCATTGTTGCAGAAATCCAAGCGTTGCAGAAATCCAAGCGTGACGCAGTGGCAACATCTGATATCGGATCTAAAGGACTTGTGCAGACAAGCCTTAGGTAAACCAACCAGCGTCTCCTGAATATAGAGGAGGCCCCCCCCGTTAATGAAGGGTAACGTCGGTTCCCACTGGGGCTATTAAAACAACAGGTGCTTGGGGGAAGCTCAGCTGTCAAGAGCAGGATGCAACTAGCTTGTGATTTAGTTAGCTTACTGCCCAGAAACACAGCAGTACTCCTACATCAACTGGGGCTGTCAAATCAGCAGGGGCTTGAAGAAAGGTCAACTGTGCAGGAGGTAGCATGCTTGTTGTTTAGTAAGAAGTGGCAGCAGGTCACTGTGTTGAGTCTTGACCACATAAGGAGTCACCCAACAGTTGAGAATTTGAACTTTTACCATGAAAGTATGAACCAGCGTCTCCTGAATAGGCTTGGGAGGTGGATAATCTCTGAACACACTGGGGGCTGTGATTGAGGAAAGCTCAGCTGTCGAGTACAGGCAATACCTTTCTTGTGGTTAATGAAGCTTGTGCTTTGGCTAGCAGCTGCATGAAGCTGTTGGATCTTGACCTTCAGGCTGAAAAAGTCACTCAAAAGTAGAGTTGATGTACTTCTACTTTAAAGTGCCACAGTGTTCCCTGCTAACAGCACAGTGAATCACTGTAAACCATCACACTCTTTAGACAGAGGTCTTGCTTGTGGTTTAGCTAGCAGCAGCTGCATGTTACTATGTATGGATGTGACCACAGGGTGAATGAGTCACCCAACAGTTGAGTATGTACTTATCCTATAAAAGTACCACAGTGGAGTTCCCCAACAACCCAGAGGTTCAGACCTCATTAGCAATAACTTCAAATGTCTTAGTTACTCGTCTGATTAATTAGCAGCCTCCATGTTCTGCATTAACTGACTGAAGAAGTTAACGTACTGCACACAGGTCTCCACACAAACCATGTGACTGGTTGCTAAGCACCTGCGCTTGTCAGCATGCAGACAGATGGGATGCCATATTTTAATGGAGGGCTCAGTCTCCTTATCCAGGCTTTATTAAGTCTCGAGTGGCGACAGAGAGGCTATTCAAGTGCTGCTCCACATGGCCCTATTGTCTTACATCTACAAATCTGTGCTCATTTCATCATCGTTTCAGCCTGATTTACATCCCTTTCGCCTTTCATTTAAATGTGACCTGCAGCAACAATACATACTTTTATCTCCCTGATAAAAAATGTATTTAAGTGATGTATTGCAGATGTAATGTATACTGTAAGGAGCAGTTACATTGACTAACAGTTGGTGCACTTGGAGAGATGCCCAGCATTTTCCAAAGCTCAGCTACTATTACTTTTTATCATCATTTTATATCATTCTGTTATTTCAAACTAACAGGCACTCTTCTGTGTGATGAAATGCTAGTGTTCTTGTAATTGATTATATATTTTGAACTGATTTTCTGTCTTGTTTCCTATAGCGATGCTCATATGAGTATGCTGTCTGCTTTTCGACAACGAATAATCAGGCTTCAGACGATACAAAAGCAACACACATGATTGAATCCAAAGGTCACTTTTATTTAATTCAGTGTGAATAAATTCAATACTGTCACATTGACAGTTCTAGAGAACACACAGAGTTCTCTGAAAGGGCTAGGACACACAACACACGCACACATATCTAATGACTCTGAATTCTACACACTACATGACCGTGTTTTGGGTAAATAATAAGGTCAAAATGAGCTCAGGTCCATAAACATTTGACCTTTTAACACTTAGTAAAAACCACTTGTCTATTCCATACAAGATAGCAGGCATTTTACTTTTCTGTGCACTTAAATGAAACAAACAATAATGAATACTTTAAAAAATAGAAATACTGTGAAATAATACCTAATGTGTCAGCTTTAGCAGCACTAACGTTCAGTGAATAAGTCATACACACAAACACTTCTCCTCAAGTGTGCACTTACAACACATTTCTTAATTTCATGACCACGCATCAAGGAATTCACATCTTTCCTTCAGGGATGTGTTGAAAATATCAGTCCTTTAGCACAAAATGCTCTCTTGGCCACTTGTTTAAACAACAGTGACTTCATGATAAGTTGATAAACACCAGTAAGCAGCATTAGGCTTTCAGGAAAATCCAACGGAAAACTTGCCAACAGCAGGGCATTGTGAGAAACAAATAATGCTATTATCAGCTAATATAGCTATTAGCTAAATCCTACTAATCAGATAATTGCTCCAGGAGTGTTTTCATTTTGTTTTATGCTCTTAATTCAGTGGGATGTTTCCCCCATAAGTAGACCCCATACTATTAAAATTCGCAATAAAAAAATACTGCTTCTCTGTCAAAATCTTGTGTCTCTACTTTGGGGCCCTCCCTGTTGTAAAATAGTCATAAAAAAAAAACCACGCAAGCCATTAAATGTAATACAGACAACAGCAAAAAACTCTAAATACTTCAGTCCAAAGCAATGGAATGTAACATGAGTTTCGCTATGTGTCTTAAACTATTTACAGACACATTAACTACTCAATAAATGTTTCCCTACATTGCAAACAGTTTGTGAGGCTTAATATTTACTGAACATAATATTTTAGGTGAATTTTTGGGTGACTGTTTCTGTGATAAATGCTGTTTTATAATAACACATTCTGAACACAGGTATACCTATAATACAGGCTAACGTGTTTTACAGTGTTGAAGGCTACATTGAATTATCAGGCTCCTTCTGTTTATCAGTGTATAGTTCATGTTTCAGTGTGTATATATCCACAGGTGAATCTTCTAGCTGTGACATATTGCTGAGTATTGTGCTAGATATGACATCACACCCGTGGCATGTCATGCTACATAAAAAGTTTCAGTCTTTCTTGATGTGGAATAACTTCATGTGTGATAAGGAGAGTAATAACAAAGTGAAGACAGTGTTTGAATATGTGTTGCTATGACAACACAGTGAGGGTGACAGTCCCTTTGGTCCTTTTCAGGATGCCAACAGCCTCTTCATGAGTGACACCGTCCAGGGTCTGTCCATTAACGGCCATTATCTGGTCTCCTCTCTTCAGACGGCCGTCCTCTGCCGCTGCTCCCTGAGCACACAGAAACACACTCGTGAGCAATAAACTTTTATTAACGCTTCTGATATAAAACGGAGAACTTGCCGCTTACCTTTCCAAAAACAGTTTTAACATAAATCGGTAAGTCTCCATGGGGACTGCCGTGCCCTCCGACTATACTGAACCCCAATCCATCTGGTCCTCGTCCAAGAGTGATGGTCTTATACTGAGGAGGGCTGATGGAAAGACAAGGACAGTTAGGGGCAGTTTAGTTATCATTAAATAAACGGAACACCCTCTCCCCTAATATCTGAATATTTAAAAAAACAAGTTGAAGTATATTGATGTTGTTTCCCTATTAATTATGACATGAGGTACTATTCTTCCCAGGTCCCATACAAAAGAATAAGACAAGTGATTCATTAGCACAGCAGACAGTCTTCAAAATAAAAAGTAACACAATAAAAAAACATGAGGAAAAAAAAAACACATTTACATTATCTATCTGTCCATCTATGCTGTAAAATTCAAGATGTATTATTGAAGTGGGACAATCATTTTCAAAATATCCCCCGAAAAAGTGAATAAATACAGAAACTGGTACACTAACGTTCTGTGTTTCGTCTGATACATCACACAGTCCCTTAAGCCGAGGCATACACTATACGGCTAATTTTGAAGTCGTGCAGTGTACAGTGGGGCAAGAAGCCCAATCGCTGCCGCTCCTGACTGGTTGGATGATCTTTTGGCATGTTTGAAATCTTGGTCATATGACAACAATACACTCGCACAGTAAGAGCAGAGCCACGAGCTGATTCCCTGACTCCAGAGCTTTTTATTTTTTTTCCTGAATGTGCCTGCACAAACAAGCAGGCAGCGTCTAAAAGCACCATGGCAACAGCGGGCTTGCCTGTTTGATGTGTCTTCTTATGTGTTATGATTTAGCTGCTAGCCTGTTATTATCGCTGATGCTGAGTGTGTGTGAGTGTGAGAGCATTTTGCCAGTGTTTATTTTTGAGCATTATTGAGACAACTGAGAAACACATCAACTGACTACAACCTACAGCTGTAGGAGTTTTATTCCCAGCTGTCACGACTCGTACAATGCGAGCTCTCAGGTTGTGTCCGACAATTGAGTCCTAGAGTTTGTGCACATAAATCTTCAGCTTCGGTTGTGAGTATTGGATGATTTAGTCGTATGGTGCGAGCTGACATTCTGCCACAACTTTTATACAATCCCACAGTTTACACCGGGCTTTAGACACCATAACACTACTTAAATCAGGGTAATATTTATGTTGCTGTTTCTCTATAACACTAAGGTTTATACCAGAGATCATCCTGGAAGATGCAGCTGGGTGTGAGACCTCCTGCTGCCTGCTCCTGAGACGGACCTGTCACAGTGGTGTCACCACCTGCTACAACCTACAGGTGCATGAAAAACACAAACACATTTTTATGGCATCTTGCAGATAAAGACACCAGTTTTATGGTACTTCAAAGTGTGCCGGTGGGTAGCCTTTTGACTGTTCTCTTCACACACAGATAGAGTAAAGATCAAGAGAATATGGAAGATGTTTAATTGCAGATTATCTATCTGGGTCTACACATTTACCTAATAAGAACAGAAAAGGTGAGAGATTGTGTGTTTGACCTGCAGCTGTATTGTGCCTGTGGCGTTCTTCAGTAGAGCGACCGCCTGCGAGTGGCTCATTCCTTCAGCTGACGTTCCACAGATACTGACGATGCGGTCACCAATCTGGAAAAATCAGAAATAAAAACAATTTAATAGGCTCGTAGGAAAGAATAACAACTTGAAACATTTCCATTTCCAAGAGAAGTTTGGAAACTTCAGATGCAGATGAGACTCTGGGTTATTTTGCACGGCTCATGATGACCTACTTTAAATAATGAATGTGCTCACATAACATTGCTCTTTTCCTAAAAGCAGTATGAATATGCATCGGCACAGCAGGGACACTTTTCAAAGCTTTCTGAGATGCTTTTTCTACCATTCTAATACTTTTACTTGAAAAGTGTGGGGAACTCTATGTGTTAACAGGATATGAGACGCTAAAACAGTTTGAAATGTTAATTCACCACACCACTCAAAAGAAGGACTTTTCCTCTGTTCAGCTGAGTAATTTCATTATGCAGCATTCTCATCTCACCCTGGCTGAAAAGATGAAGCAGCATGAATATGCTATTCAACACTTGCCCTTATTCATTTCACTGAGCCCTTCTGTAGGCTCACTGATCTGAATGCAGGAGTGGGAGATTTATTAGCGACGCTAGCAAAAGCTATTGTCCTCCTCCAGTGTGCGTAACACAGAGATACAATTGTCATTTGACTGCGAGGGTCACGCCTGAAGGCTGCGGGCTCTTGACCTTTTGGTAGACTTGAGATTCACAAACCGTATATATAATGAGTGGGAATGACGTTGCTGCAAATAATTGAGAGTCACATAAAATCCCACACAAGAATTACGGCTATGCATGTCCTTTAAAGGTTGTGGAAAGGGAGGGGTAAAGTCTCGCACCTTGAGTTTCTGCGTCTGAGCAGCCACGCCCACAGGATTCATCATGGCGATGAAGATGGGTATGTCACCCAGAGGGCTGCCCACACCGCCTGCTATACTAATGCCCAGAGAGTCATTGGGACCTTTAGTGAACTCCACCATCCGGGTGTCCTGATGCTCGGCAGCTGTAGGTGGAGTAAAAAGACAACATGTTAGGATGGATCTACTTCAGTTTTTTTTTTTGTTTGTTTTTTTTTAAATGACGGCTTTAATCGTACAAATATTCAAAATCTGGACTCCTACTTAGTTTGTCAGCATCAGCAGGAAGGTTTCCGGAGTCTGAACACAGCTGGGAGGCCACCTTTGAGCTGCCTGGTTCACTCATCTGAAACAAAGACAATCAGCCCAGTGTTTAATGACTATTTAATAGTTCTTTAAATACGACATTTAACTGGATGATGTAGAATTACAGTACCAGACTATTTTGAGACAGCCGTCTTTCAGAGTGGAAGGGGCCTGCTTTAAACCTCCCCACTTCCATTTTTATAGGCCCATCGCAGCACTGAAACACAAAGCACATCATGTTTCATTTGACCCAAAAAGTTTCACATCATTCACACACCACACCTCCTTCCGATGGCCTGTTCTATACATTTACCTTGAGCAGAGCAGCCACAGCCTCCTGAGTTGTAGATCTAACATCCTCTCCGTTGACTGACAGGATCTGATCCCCCTGCATCAGTTTTCCATCAGTGTCTGCCAAACCTCCTTTCACGATATCAGACACAAATACTCCTGTGTCATTCCTGTTTGGAGAGATGAGATGACATCTTTTACTATCTTTCAGTCGTCATTCTGATTTTTTTTTTCTCTGCTGTGTTTGACCTTCATCTGGTCAAAGTGCTGACTTCTGATGCTGGACTTGTAATTGAGGGTACGTTATTGATCCAGCTTTTTCCTTTTTCTTTTCCCCAACAGACCTCTGCACTAACGTGGAAAGTTGCAGTCCAACAGCTGGTAAGATGGAATATTTAATAGCAAAAGCTTGTGTTTACCCCCCCCCCCCCCCAGCTGTGACCTCGATAAATGTGCTCTCCAGCTTGAGTACTGCAAGTCGGTACAGTGAATGTTATTATTCTTTACTCTTATGGGTGCATTGGGGACACTTTTAAGAATGATCATCCACCACGGAGATGTCTACACCAATCAGAGCTGTGTGTAGTCATTTCCATGAATTGTCCCACACTTGCCCCTCACCATGCTTTAACCTGTTTGACCAAAATGTGTGCGATGAGGCTCTATTAATCAGGGATGGTTGGCAAATGACGAAAAAGTAGGAAAAACAAAGAGTCAAATTTAAAATTTGACCTTGCACCTCCACCTTGCATCTAATCTATCTAATCTAATCACCTGCTAAAGCACACAAGAGGTGCGATTGTACACATGCGGCGACAAATTCTCAGTCTCTGTCTTATATCCAAAAGCTCATCTCTGCTGTGGTCTCTGCATATCCCAAGTGCCAATCTCCACGTGGATGAAAGTAACACAAGCAGAAGCTGTGAAGCAAAGCAACACTTTCCCTCTCCATCCCCAGTTTCACAGTCACTTGGCTGTCAAAGCTCCACCACTAACTGCTAGCTTGCTCTTTCCATTTTAGCCCAAGGTTTTTAGAGTGTGTCTTACAATGCTGCCTTTTCCTTACACTAAGCATTTTCCTTGTTTTTCTTTCCACGTGTGTGTAGAAAAACCTCTCTGACAGTGGCAAAGATTTACAGCTTTATGAAAGGCTGACTTCTTCACCTAACAGTTATACACACACAGAATGGGCCATTCATATGCATGGTTTATGACATTCCTGTGTGTTATCCTAGGGGTGAGATCAATCACAACGCTGCATACACCTGACGGCAGCAGGCTGTCAGCATGTGGCCCAGCATGCTCCCCCCCGTGTGCTTTAACCCATAAATGCAGCTGAAAGAATAGATTTTATGTGTGAGAGAATTTGCCTGTTAATGTTATAGTAAAGAAGACGTGATATTCCTCATTACAGGTACATTGGAGGTAAGTAAGGGGAACACAAAGTTAAAGTGAGCTAACATGTCTAGCAGGGCATTTCAGTTATTGAGCCAAAAAGTAAGATAGAAAAAAAAAAATCACTTTGCTGAGATCATTTCATGTTTACTAAACCAATTCAACCTAAGGGTTCCAGAAGCAAGCATTCTAAAAAAAAAAAAACTAATTATTTCTGTGGTAAGTTTTGTTTCTTTAACTTGCTATGCACTAATGAACTCTACAGGCCTTTTAATAAAGGTTACCTCTGCTCCCGTGACCTGCATCAAAAAAGAAAAATTAATACATTTACTGTCACACTATGTTGTCTCTTAAAATGACAGTATTAAACGAATTCTGTTGATTATATCATGATACTATTCTTCACTTATTGTTGTAGTCTTGCTGCTTGACTTAATCAATTTTCAAACTTTTTTCTCATATTTTTAATTCTCATTCTACTTCTATTACCATATTATTTTAGATTAATAAGTAAACATAAACGACCCTAAGTAAGTAAACATAACATGCTCACTCCTATCAAAGCCAACGTCAATGCCCTCGATGAAGAAGCAAATTTTAACTTATTCCTCATTATACATCCTGCTGTATACAGATAAATCTAAGGTAAGGCATTAGCACTAACAATACATTTCTCTCTCACCTCCTCCCCACAATGCTCAGGCCCAGGCCCTGGCCCGGCCTCTTGTGGAGCTCCACAGTGAACGAGTCCCACAGGTCTTCCTCTTTGTATTGGGCCTCGTCCCTGTAGACGGTCAGGCGGACTCTTTGCGGGGTTTGACGCAGCACGTTGATGGCCTCGTCGTGACTGGCTGCACGCAGGTCGATGCCATTCACCTGTGAGGAGAGGAAAGGAGGTAACGCAGCAATACGGCTTTGATTCCTAATAAAGGAAAGAAAACATCAGTGATATAAACAGCAAATTGCTCAGATCAATTCTCATTTTGTTGCATTCTGCAAAGTAGTAAGTTTCCTGATGTCAAGTAAATGCAGCACAAGGCTATGAAAGTACAAATGTTTCTTTCTTGAAGTGCTGCTGAGATTGTTGAACACTGGATATTAATATAGAAAAGATGTCACAATGTTTAGATATGCGGTCATCCCACTAAGGAAGCCCAAGTGGTCAGTTAAAAGTTTGACGTCCATTTGTTTTGCTTCTACATCAAAGGAAGGAAATTGCCCATTAGCTTAAGCCATGAACATGCAGAGGAGGACTGGGAAACTGCTCTTTTCACTTTTCCTCGCTGACCCTCTTTTGTAAACACATCGGCTTGGCTCGGGGACAGAAAGGAATAGTAGAAGGCAATTAAGTCGTAAGGGTGTGTGTTGGTGTGTGTGCATGCATGTGTGCCTTTCAATTCAGGTTTTCAGATTGAGCGACCATGACTAAACCTCCGAGCCACACCCCTGCCCTCCCTCTGTGAAAAAGCAGGAGGTCAAAGAGAGGGCAAATCCAAGTTGAGCTGCTATACTTAACTTGTCTCTTCATGTAAAACAAACCGGATTCACCTCGGTGTTTACTTTCCTCTTGTCTTTTTACTCACTTAACTCTTCAGTGCATTGTCTCACGAACAGCAAAGAGTTGTTTGGGTGCTCAGTCAGATTAGCTTAGCCTTCATGTTAAAACTTCCCCCGAGCGGCCACGTCTCACTCAGCCTCCTCTTTTATCTAGGTCATATGTGATGCTCATTGTACCGCATCGCACCGCACCGCACCGCACCGCACCTCAAGGATTTGGTCTCCTGCCCAGAGTCTGCCATCTTTGGAGGCTGCCCCTTCTTCGTATACTTCGTGGATAATGATGGCCCCCTGGAGTGAAAGAGAAGAAGGAGGTGAACAGGAACTGCTGGAGATGATGATGTAAGAGCAGTAACTGTTTATGTAGAAGGAAGAAAAGGAAAGTAAATCGTTGGAGGGAAAAAAAAATAGAGTAACCAAGTATCCAATGTTCACATGCATTATTTGAAACGTGTGTATCTTTCTAGCTTCCACTATGTTTTCTCTGTGTTCCAGGGAGAGTGTCATTTGGGGTGCAGAGGTTACATTCCAGGGCTGGATATTGTCTGCTTGCGGCCGAGGCCAGACAAAGAGCAGCTCCCTCCCAAGCCTGACTGAGCAGACAGAATGGATGGGCTGAGGAGGTGGAGGACGGCTGTGACAACGTCATTTCCTACATTCCTGAACTGCCATGACTATTTTGAACTTCTGTTATACCACCACTTAAGATTCTAAGTGGGGGGTAACTAACAGGTTACAATTAAAATACTTTTAAAGTATATTTCAACAAAGGGATTGTAGACTATGAAAAAGCCAAAATACTCTTTTTCTAAACTGTTTCATGCTTTCAAATAAATCATTGCTATTAAAACTACCTCCTGAAAATCTATTTGCTTTTAGTTTCCTACCAGCAGGGTGTCACAGCCCCCCACGATGCTCAGGCCCAGACCTGTGTGGCCCTTTGAGATGTCGATGGTGGTCTCACACCCTGGGATGATGGGACAGGTCGCTGGGTCACAGGTCAGAGTGGAGGGTGTGGATGAGCGGCTCAAACCTGAAAGAAAAAAGGATATGAATTAGAATACAAAAACAAACCAATTGAGGGGGAATTTACCTCTGAAATAAAAGGTAAAACTTGCATCAACTTATTTAGATTAAAAGGTGTAAGGAGACTCACTAGTGGCTGCCTCCGCCTCTGGTTGGTTCATTGAAGTCGTGGTTGCACTAGGCATGCTGGGTAAACTGGTGAGGACGCCATCCTGGCAGGTTGACTGGGGAGAGGAGGAGGAGGTCTCAAATGTAGAGAAGGTTAGCTTCAGAGGGCCTTTGGTTTTTCTCAGAAGAGAATTCACCTAAAAGACAGTAGAATTTACTAATCAGACTCAATCTCCTCATCGTTACATCATCTTTTCTCTTTACATTCTCATGAGAGTTACTCAAAACTCTGCTAAGGACCCTGCACTCTAACCTTTTCCACAGAGTAGCCGAGCACTGATTCCCCATTCACAGTTAAGAGTTTGTCCCCTGGTTTCATGCAGTCCTCCTACATGGAGTAAGTCAAACTTTGGATGAGAAATCACCTGTAAACGGTAAACAACCGTTAAATATAGTTTATGAAACTCACTTTCATTGCGTGTCCTTCCACTTCACATATACTCTGAATCTCCACGCCGCTCTCTGTGTTTCCCTCCACAAAGGTGATTCCATGTCCTCCCTCATCCTGTTAAAAAAAAAAAAAAAATCAACATGAATAGGAATTAAAACTGTGTCAACATGTCATTCAGACAGACTCACTCATTTTGTTTATGTAGCTTTAAGACGTGCTAAATAAAGGGGCTAGAGCAGCTACTGAAAACAGTCATTACTGTCTGCAATTATCCCCAGAAACAGAAATAGCCCCAGCATCACCTTCTGACCTTTTTGTTTCCTGAGAGGAGTGTTTGTGCTTCTCAGTTCATATCAGTGAGCTGTACTGATGCTGCTGCATTAATACTAACATCATGTTTAAACTTGAAAACATGATCTCTCTGGTGAGACTTTCAGCTGATATTGTTAAGTGTGATCTTTTCAAATGCTTGAAAACATCTGAAGACTTTGGTAAATAAAACTTACAATATCTTCCCCACTAAATCTGTTCCTCCTTTATTCCTTTGATGGACTGAGCCTTTGTATCCTTTGTAGAACTGTTTAACTCCCACTCACTGGCTTGTTTTTGTTCTTTTAACTTTTTATTTGACTGTCTGTCAGACTCGACCGCTCCTGTGTACTCTCTCTCTCTCTCTCTGTCCTACCCCATTGACCTTTTCTGTGTACAATTCCCTCATTACTACATTCCTCTCCACTTTCTCTCTATTATTGTCTTAATTTTGCTAATTCAGTGTATCTTTTTGGGGGGTCCGGTGTGTCTCACCTTCAGCTTTATGATGTGATTCACGTTCTCTGAAGTGTCAGCTTCACCATTGGCAGCAGATTCAAGCTGTAAATTAGAGAGGCGGTAGTTGGTACAGTAAGAGGTAAGTGACTTAAACTGTTGTGCATGTGTGCATCTGGTGTGTGTGTGTGTGTGTGTGTGTCTGGGCCTCTACAGCAGTGTTTGTGATTTTTGGTTGTCTTGGGAGTGACACACTGGCCCTCCATGGACCTCGAAGACCACACAAAGAGACTTTCAGGAGCAAATGAAAACTGACTTGTTTTGGGTAAAAAATGCTGATAATAGTTTGTGAGTAGGTTTAAAGTATCACGGTGAAGTTTCACCATCCAAAATCGGCTTGGTTTTTTGTGTCCATCATTGTGGGGCCTTTGTGCGTGTTTGTGTACCTGTGTGGCCACATACAGTCGTACCTCAGTGTGGGGCTCTGCTGTGTCTCCCTCGTGCTCCAACACCGGTCCCACAGCCATCTGGTTCAGCGCCTCTGTGTTCCTGATCCAAAGAGTCATAACTCACGTAAATGGCTGCTCCTCTGCCTCGTGACAGTGGAAACATGATTTACGTTTGTTGATCAAAGTGTGCTTCGGGGGGGGTCAGGAAAGGGATGCGAGTTAAATAGAAGGTTAAGTAGTGTGATCCTGAAAAGGACTGCTTGGAGGAGGGTCAAAGGTCATATGTGTCTGACTCTGGTATGTCAGCTGTTAAGTCTGAGATCCATTCTGTATAGCAACAGTTTATAGTTTGAACAATATACTTTTAATCTACACATTCACTCACTGTGATATACTTAAAGGAAATGTTATAATCCTTTTTTTTATTTAAGCTCTTTCATTACCATTTACATAAAATGTAAGCATGGGGAGCTTTCTATTTCCTGTATGCATTGCATTGTGGGAATATTGCACAAAAACTTCAGCATTAATATACATACCAGCATACTTTATCTTTAATATAACAAACAGAACCTTCTAAAAACTAGACTTTAGAGCCAATTTAGGATGTGATGTTTTTTTAGTCCGACTAAGAGTTTAAAACTTTTGACATTTCTTTCGAGATAAACTGGAGAACTGAAGCGGATTTGTGACCACTTTTTACGCAGAAACATCAAACCTCAAACAGGGTAGGAGGAATATGCTGTAAACTGAACCTGTACTGTATATGAATTGTAATGCCTCTTCTTCCTGTGCACCCTTCTGTTGAGTTACAATAGCCCCCTCTACTGGATTCCTAACAACATTACAACATCACTTTGCTGTGAGTTAAAAGTCAGGTTTCATTTTCGGCAGTCAAATAAATGCAGCTTCTGTTGCCATGGATTTTTGCTCACAGCAGCTTGAATAGGAGGATTTAAGTGTTCTTGTGTGTGCTGTACCTGACAAAGATGATTTTGACTTTAGACGGAGAGCTCTTGATTGTGGAGGAGGCGTTCTGGTGACTGTGGCCATAGAGGACTTGTCCATTGATCTAACAAGGCACAAAAAATAAAGAATTATTATCATTAAAATTGATTAAAAACATGTATTAAACATACTATAATATGTTTACCTTCTAGATTATATAACTCTAAGGAGTCAAATATCTTTACCTCCAGGAGCTCATCTCCCACGACCATACGTCCGTCCCTGCCGGCCGCCCCGCTGGGGTCTATTCCCACCACGAACACACTCATGCGTGAGCGATCCCTGTTCCCTGCCAGACTGAGTCCCAGGCCCGTCTTGCCTTTCTCTAGCTCTATCATGTGCAGGACTCCTGGGAGGCTGTTGTAGCGCTGGATTATGTTCTCTGAGAGAAGTGAGGAGGTGACAGACAGACAGACAGACAGATGTAAGCAGACAATACAGCTGGAAAGTGTCAGGTCATGTGATGATGCACCGGTACAAAAAGTAAAGCTTTGAGGAGTAATGTCCAAGGTCTTCTTTTAGTCTTTCTATTGCTTTGTCTCGGTTGTCTTTATTGTCTTCCTCCTCGTTCTCCCTGCACTCTCCTGTCTTTCCTCCTACCTCAGCTCCTGTCTCTGGTGTGTTAGATAGCCACTGTTCACACCAAACCTGCTCTTGTTGTTCTGGGCTCCCTGCCACTGTTGAACCATCAGTCCTGTACTAATCTCCACAACTCACCTCCCCGGGCCCAGCCTCATCAATCTTATCCCCGCAGGACAAACACACACACTATCTCCCGTACACACACACACACACACATTTGCAGACATTCACCACAGTCCCAGGTGTTCGGAGGCTGGGTGTCTGTCCTTTATGCTGGCTGCCTGAGCTGAATGAAAGTGACCGTTGTCCTTGAAGCGATGAGTTTGTACTCCTGTGACTTAACAGCGGTTAAAGGATGCTAATAGCTTTTTTAGGACATTGAGTCCTTCAGAGGTACAATGTGAATTGTTTATAGTAGGGTGTAGATGGTTTTTTTGGAGCAGGTTATTACACAAACATGGAACTTTGGGGACCTCTAGTGGCTTTTATGTGAAAAAGCATGCTGCAGTAAAAAAACATCATATCCCTGTGCTCTTCCATCACCACACCAGTTTCAAATCAAATACAACTTCTGCCTCAAAGAGTATCAATTTTAGAAACAGAAAACTCACTCCAGCTGTATCCAAACTCATCCTCCATCTCCTCCTCCACCTCGTTGTCCTCCTCTGCCTCAGCGGCAGGGCTGCCAGGAATCTCCGTCAGCGTGTCGGTGTCGGTCTCTCCCACATGGGGCACCACTGGCAGGGGGAGGATGCTGCTGGTGGGAGCCGCCTTCGCTGCTTCGCGCTTCGTCAGCTGTCACGCACACAGATGGAGTTTAGAACATAGTTTATTAGTGAGAGTTAGGAGGATCAAAAAAAGGCTTTATCTCTGTATTAAGTTTGAATCAGCTTGATGAAAGTTTTTTTTCACATGAGGAAGGCAAATCAGAGCTGTTGATGTAATGACCAGATGCCGTATGCTTGGTTTACATTAACAGCTTCATCAGTTGGAGCAGAGCATGTTTGACTCAGAAATAGCCTTATTAAGCTACTGACACAAGTTAGATTAGGATCATTACAGGATTTAATCACAAAATGATTACTGATGTAATTTCTAAAAATTGAATTAGTACTTCAATTAAGAAAATTCACTCGTCAGAAATGTATATCTACACTTCCCAGAACACCCCAAGAGCAACAAATCATGTTTAATTTGTTATTCTTCTACGATTAAATAACCGATCCTTCAACAAAATATGAAGCAGACTTTCTAAAATGTGCTTTTGTTGACCATACAGGTGATTTTGTTACTTCTTTTAATAGGAAAAGAGAGAAAGCAAAGGACAACACATGTTCTGATTTCACAAAAAGCAGACAGAGACAGGGGGCTTGTTAGGACACATACAGGTGTATGCATGTACAGCATGTTAGTTTATATGCAACACAGGAGGAACTGTATTGTGGTATATAAACATAGCTGTGCAAACACATGCACACAAAAGGGAAGTCGGAAAGCTCAACACAGAGACCCACAAACCTTAAACGGGGTAGGGGTGAAAGGGTTAGTTGGAGAGAGGAAGAGGACAAGTCTACTGTGACTGTCAGCCTCCTACAGAGAAGAGACAGAGGGCAAAAACTTTAGAAGACAACACGTTTGTGACACAAACTACGTCTATTGACACACACATATAAACCTAAGACAACATATCTTACGTCAAAAAGGAGAAAACGCTCTGAAAAGGCTTTTGTGTTGGGACACTTTTTCTTTTTTTCTAAATCAGTGTAGAATGCAGGTATAGGTCTTAATGTTATAAATAGTGGGGGGTATGATATGGGGGGGTATGATAATATGAAACACAAACCTTGTCCTTGTTGTCCCTCGTCACAGCTGCAGCTCGCTCCTCACTGGAGTCTGTGTTTGACGACTGCTTAGTAATAGAGAGCACATTCATAATGTTACCGGTGAAAACATAGTGCACCATATTGTGCTGTAGAGCAGAGGCGGAGACCCCATACATATCAAAAACTGCACAAAGTTTGAAGTCTTCTAAAACACTCAAACCAGTGTTATGCACCATCTGCTGTATCATGAAAACCATCGGGCCGTAAATGTTACCACTGAAGAATAATCCATAATATTTATATGAAGGAAAACTTTCACGTCGTCTTCTGCTAACTTGAAGGTGAAGACTTAAGATCTGAAGCACACACACACACACACACACACACACACACACACACACACACACACACACACACACACACACACACACACACACACACACACACACACACACACACACACACACACACACACACACACACACACACACCCACACACACACACACGCCAAAACCTGAATGTGCTAAATGTAAAAGCTTATCCAGCAACACACGTCCGTTCAAGCTTTACCATTGGTCCCAATGATGAAGCTTTCAGGTGTGCCTGAAAGTTTAGCGTTCTAAAACACAGATATTGCAGTTTATAGTTCCTCATATAATAGTATTTTTTTGTTGGGTGCTAGCTGTTGAATGTTCTTTTTTTTCTTTACATTGACAGTGAGTCACTTGGGGCAGTGTTTAAGGGATAATTGGGGAGAAATTGGGCTGTCGAAGCTGGAGACAGGAGCAAAATAAAATGCACTTAAAGTCAAAGCCTGTGCTTTTATTTCGCTTCCTATTTGGCGCAACAAAGGGACAGCAAAGCACAGAAGGCATCATACCGATAATGATTGCAGATTTTTTTTAAAAGCAAACAAAATGTTAAGACGTTCAAAGTTAATACACTTTAACACAAAGGAGTACAGGTCAAGCGAAAGACAAACAAGCAGGCAGACACAGACATCGGGTAGCGTTCTAACCTGGGGGAGGGCAGGAGCTAAGAAGGTTTGATTAGTGCAGCGAAGGCTCGATCCACAGTGGCTATTAAGCTTCAGAAAGGGCAGGGGCGGCTTCTAAAAGCAACACACAAGAGGACCAACAAGCTGACAACATGACAAATATTTAATACGATGGCTGAGTCGTTCAGACAAAATTTAATCAGAGGCCATCTGGGAGTAAAAAGAAGAAGAAGAAAGAGTGGTGAGTATGTGGAGGACAGTGGCACCTCAGGTTTTATTCAAATAGAGTAGCCATTAAAGCGAGCCGCTTCCTTTTGGACAGCCGTTTTCCTTCACATAAAAAAAAAAATAAATCAGAGCAAAGGCTCTCTCTCTGAAACGCTTGAACAAAATGTCTCAAAGACTCCTCCGGGCTAACTGGAGATTATTCACTGCTTACAAGAGAGGGTTTGGAAACTTAAAAGGGAAACAGCGAGGATATGTTATTATACTCTCTAGGTGGTCCCCGGTGGCTGCGTTTGAAAACGGCATTACTGACCTGCCTAAAGCACTAAGCGCTACCGTCCAATCAAAAATAATATTTATTAAGCTATTCACTCTTTTGTTATAAATTTCAATTGAGTTTCAGCTCAAGACAATGGCATTAGAATCCATGGGAAACGTTTTCTTCTTCTCGTAACTTTCCAGAATTCACACCTTTGTATCCCACATAGGTTAGAACTTTTTCCTTTTCCATCTAGTCTGGATGTGTGTTGTATATCTAAATAACACACCGTAGGCACAAAAGGTTTCTAATCTACTCGTGGCAAAAACTGATTTCCCCCTGTGTGATTAAAAACATCTTTATGGTTCATGTTATGTAACAGTAAGATCATAAAATGGAATAAGAAGCCAGCAAATCAAAATCAAAACCCAGTGTCTTTTTCTCCTAGAAGGCAACTCCAATTCTCCTCTGTCTTCTCCCCCCCCCCATTCTCATGATGTGTGCATCAAAGTAAAGGATGCAGTTCAGAAGAGAGAGACTAAAAGAGAAAGAAGGCACTAAAGGTAAGGCAACAAAGATTAGCCGTGATGCAAAAGAAATGAGAGACAAGAAGGACAGATTACCTGATGTGTGGCATGTGGCATGCATGTGATCGCAGCAGTGTGTTTCTTTACAGCAGGTGATGGAGCTGGACTATATATTGACTCAGGCTGAGGAAGCAGTGTGGAGGAACACAGATGTAGATTTGAGGAAACTCATAATGTAGAAAATAATGAAGTGAAAATAAAAAAAAATAGTTGTTTTTTTTTAAGGGAGGAGGAATGTTTTGAAATTCAACTTCTGCTTCATAGAGATGAAGAGGAGGCACTCAAGTCTGGATGCTAAATTCAAAGCAGATGGTTGACACTGGAAATAAGAAACGTTAGTTAACTGACTTTTAAATAATTTGCGATCGGCTAACAGCGGATTATGTCACATATTCACTCTGCTTGTAGCTCTTTTATTGTCCTTAACCAACACTTCAGGGAAAAATCTGAATGCCAAATTAAGCTAATAAATGCTAAATACTCTACTGTTTCAACCAGTTAGCTGCTAATTTAGCAAGTCTGCTGTTTGCTGCCAGGAGTATAGCGTGCAGTGGGATTTGAAGGCTTAATGGCGCCCTCAGAATCATTTACTACGGCTAAAAACAATATTATTATGGTAAAGAGTTTGTTTGCATATATCACGTCACCACAGTTAAGTATGATTCTTTTTAAGCATGAATTCTCGCCTTGCTTCGTGTGCCTCCTCTGAATGTGCCTTATTATAACATCATGAGTTTCCATAAGGCGTAAAGATGAGTAACCAGAATGTTAAGGAAAGCATGTGGGAATATTTGAGGTTGCACAAAAAAAATAAAAATAAAAAGTGACTGACTGTGAGAGATCTGATGCTGGAACAAAGCCAGATGCAGCCCCAGCAGGAAACTACTTAGTCATGCTTTAAAAGCCTGAGGGCACTTTGAAACAACAAACGATGTTGTGGATACGGTGATTTTCAATGAATGCGCTACTTAGAGGTTTCAACTTGCTAATATATTTTAAAATGCCACGCAGGGTTTGTTGTTGCGTTAACAAAAGATTTCAGAACGACTGCCTTTATCATTTAAAAAGCAAAGCAGATACTGCGGGGAATTTATTTTGAACATTTTAGTTTGAAAGTGCCCCAAAAGGCCGGTGTGGAGCTTTTATCATGCATGAAAAAAGAAGCTTCAGACTGGAGAAATTCTGACCTTTTGATTATACAGTAGTTGGTAATAATTGGTGCTAAAAACACAGACGTACCCTCGGCCTGTGGATAATACTCTGGACCAAGAAGGAGACCGGGTTGCCCGCCCTGCGTATGGCCTCCACTGCCTCCTCGTGACTTGCATCTCTTAGGTCCACGCCATCCACCTGAAGAAGACAGCGGGGGGGAAAGCAGTCTGTCAGGTGTCCAAACATTTCCATTCAGAATAGTGTTTTTTATTTTATTTTATTTTGTTTTTCACATTCAACATGGAAAAACACTGAATGAAGTTGGAAATCTGTACAAGTCGATTGATTCTGTGTCTTCCTCTTTTACCTCTACAATCCTGTCTCCGGTCTTCAGGGTCCCGTTCTGTCCAGCAGGACTGTCCTCCAGGATGTGCTTGATAAAAATGCCCCTCATGACCTCTCCATTACTGAGCCGGCTGCCCATCCCTCGGCCTCCAACGATGCTGATACCCAAGGACTTGCCGGGTTTGCGGAAGAGCTCAACTCTGAGGGAGGGACAACAACCACAGAACTCTGTTTTTAAAACATTTTTGTGGCTTTGGTACTGTTTAAATTGTGAATTCTTATTACATGCTTTGATGTAAATAAAACCTTATCTCAGACATCAACAGTTTCAGGTGAATGTCACAAAATGAGATGTTAAGCATGAATAGTTGTGTACTCACTTCCTTGGTTGATTCCAGTTGTTGTAAGAGGCGCTCTCCTCTCCCTCACCATCTTCCCTTTCAGGGAGGTTAGGAATATCTCTACACATTGAAAGGAAATGGTCTGATTTAATTCAAACATTTTTTTTATTCACATAAGTGTTAAGATTTGTTTAAGATCTATGGACAAGATAAAATGACAATTTGTTAAAAGAACATGATATGTACCCTGTGGAGTTTTGAACACTAGAAGCACTTTAAAGCTCCTGTTTACTTTGTTTGATGTCATACCACTGTTTGCCAGTTGGTGGCGTTACAGCATAGAAAGGGCAACGGAAGATGAATCCTGCTAGCTAACACAGACATGCACATAAACACTGCACGATGAACCAGGGCTTTTCAATGAGGTAAATACATTGAACACGTTTGTCATGTAACACACTGAATGTACACATAAGGGGTTCGTCTATTACTCTCGGCTTTGAGGACATACTTTTGAGATGGATCCGAGACCGGAGCAGGATCTGGATCTGGATCTGGGACTGGGGCAGTTTCAGGGAAGACCTCATCTGTAGTCTGCTCCAGGCTGGCCTTGTACTCCTCCAGGTACTCTGCTGGAACATATGTAATGCTGAACCCCCCCCACCAACCCCATACCACACACAACCACACACGCACGCACACACACACACAACCACACACCACGCACACACACACAACCACACACGCACGCACACACACACAAATGAATCAGACATCTCTTAAAAACAATACATTTGACATCCTTTACCCACTCATTATGAACTCTCACAGTAATTCACCCAAAATGGACTACTGCATTCAAGTGCAAATGGCTTTGAAAGCTATCAAACTACCCCCGCTTTCATGGAACTTTTTTTTTTTTTTTTTTTTTTCATCAAATGTCCTTCTCCTCCTGCATATGATCACTAGACTTCAGTAAACCTGAATGAACTGTCTCTGAAATGCATTCTCCATATCACCTGCCCAAGGTGCGATGCAATTCATTTGACACCTGACAGATAATCTAAACAAATCATCGACAGCGTGACGAATCTGAAGGGCCGTTGATTATCAGATCATGGACAGGTTTTCTAATTCCTGTTGAGAAATGACACCCACTTAAAAGCCTGATTTCCAATCATGTCAGAGTGAAGTTGTTTCTGAAGGGGCACAATGACACATTGGAGTGAAACAGAGAGCTTGAGTTGGTTTCAGAAATGTGATGACATGCAGACAGAGAGGAAATTAAAGTCCAGTGAGGTCATTAAAAGGGGGAGTGAACAACATGCTGTGAGAGAAATGGAGAAGCTTCAAAAAAACAAACGAGTAATACTAATACAGTGAGTTATAAAAGGTTAAAAAGAAAACAATGAGCATGAAGATAACAAGTGAACATGTTAGTCACAGACATAATAGGAAAGAAGTTTGGTCAGTAAGTGACGCAGTCTATCAAGATTTATCCAGATACTGATGTGACTGATGGTGCTTTTCACACTTGCAGAAAACTTCCAAGTTTTTCTGCAGCAAGACGGGTGAGCTGATGTGAGAACACAGCAGGATATTCTCAGAAGAATTCACCTCGAGCCAATAGGAGGGGGGAGGGACGTTTATATACTGTGACTGCTGATATGATATGTTGATATAAAGGCAAATATTCTCTTTATAGCATCACCTGCTACTTCCAAGCCTTTTATTAAAATCATGTCTTACCTCAGGAGACCCCCCCGCCCCCCTGAAAGTAATCTTGATATTCTCAGGAGTGTATATGTGAAAACATGTTATGTGTGTTAATATGTATTGATACACATTTTTAATATAAGTTGGTTCATACAACAACAAGATGAACCTGTAAACCAAGGATATAAACTTCAGCGTCTTCACCAGTAGCAGTTCAGAATGAAAACTTAAATATTTTTCTATAATTGTATTTCTTCTTGACTTAAATAAACAACCTTTCTTTTTGATTATCTGGATAAAACTTTTCAACTGAAAGTGATGAAGCTCAACAGCAGATGGAGAAAAACAAAAGGAGGTAGAAAACCAAGACGGCAGCTTCTTTGCAACAAAAAACAAAACAAAAACAAAAAAAACGCAACCTGCGTGGAAGTTAGTCATACTCACACATAAAATGGGCACAGATCGTCCTCGGTGGCACAAGATCTAGAACGTGAAGAGTTTGCTTTTATGCACCAAAGCTAACACAACTGCCACGTTTAGTTCAGCATGCAGAACGTGTGAAACACCACAACCAGAACGGAGGGAATATAAACTCCTTCAGTGCAACGTATGAGCAGCCCAGGTGAGTAAATCAATCCTGCATCGATTCAGGTTTTTTGAAAAGATGTCAAGCGTTAGTGAAGTTTCAATTTGATCAGACATCTTCAAAAAAATAAAAATAAAATGTAATCACAATAAAATTTGGCCAGCCTTGCTCGTGTTTTGATTTTTCTAATGAAGAACTCAGCAGCACCATTCATTTTTCAAGAGCAGAGAACAATTTCAAAGACCTTGGTACCAAAACACCAGCGCGACCCGATCTCAGTGCAGTAAAGAGAATTCAGAATTCAGCTTAATAAGTCAAAGTTTGCTGAGACTTTTTTTCTTGAATTTTTAAAGAACGCTGCAAACTGTTCTCGAATGAAATGATCCACAGCAAAGTGAAAGATAAAAGTGGATCAGAAAATAAAACAGATTTTTAATTATGATCAACAGACTGGAATCATTTGATCACAGACGATGAAACTAAAAGGTTCAGATGTGAAGAAAAATAAAATAAAAAATAGATTTCCTGATCAAGATTTGATTTTGCTCTGCATTACTATTCCTAGAAGCAAAATGTTGCTACAAATGTTGGACTCTGAGGAAGACGCAGTGCATCCAAACGTTAGTCCTTTCCACCTAAATACATTTGCTTTAAGAGATTTGTGTGCTCCAGTACTTTCTTTGGATCCTGTCTGAGAGCAGGAGTCCACTTCTAGACACATATCTCAGAGTTTTTACTTTTTAAAATGACTTCATACGGAAGCAGCATTACATGTCATTTTCAATAAGTATAGTGACACCTCTTATTTTATGTTTGGACATTACATTGCACAATGTACAGATAATGCGTGCATTCGCAGATAATGCATTGCATTCGCAGTCTCTTACCCCAGGTCCGGTCCAATAAGAGAGTGTCGTCTCAGCATGGCTCTGGCCTGAACATTCGTCATGTTGGCTGTAGGTTCTCCGTTGATAGCCAGGATGAGATCGCCCACACCGAGACGCCCGTCGCGGCTGATTGAGCCACCGTGGATAATGCTGCGAACCAGCATTCCCAGACCATCCTTCATGGCGCTCACCGTCATCCCTTTAGATTTAAAAAAGTCCTATTACACACTCAGCCTGGAACTAATAGTTTGGACCTTTTAGAGGAACAACTCCTGAAGTACAGATCAAACAATGCCACCAAGAGAACATTTCAACTCTATAATCAAAGAAAATCACTCACTACAATGTAATGGTATATTATAGCTTCATTAATCATTTCCATCTAATATAAAAGTGACTGACAGCAGAGTTTTCCCTCTGGAAACAGTAAAAGAAACCTCTTCTCATAATCCAGAATATTAACCTTTGAAACTATGAAAGCACTCCTCCATTTGGTTTTAATTCACACTCAATGCAGTCACTCGAAAGTGTTGAATAATATATTTCTACTCAACATTTCTTACACTTTCAAACTCCCTCAGAGCTCAGGGTTCTTTTGAAAAGATCATAAACATAACAGCAGCATCTTTTGTTAAGTAGTGGAACTATAGCCAGTGTAAAAAAGGTTGGATAAACAAAACAGTAATAGAAATCCAAAAAAGACTACTCAAAAGCAAAATGAGGCCGAATTGAGGATTATAAAGAGTGCTTTCAGAACACCTTTTTGTTTAAGAAGGTAAACTTAGTATTCTCTGAGTCAGTAGCAGTTCCCTCGGTGTGTTTTGAAATGCAAAAAAACCCTGAAGTTACCCTTTCAGACTGGAAAGCAGCCAAATAATCTTTTCTACCATTTTGTTTCCCATCTGGCATTCATAACAAATCTGCCACAAAAGTAAAGGCCAACCTCATTTACACTTCTTTTGATGGATGCAGAGAAGAAATAAACTATTTTTTAAAAAAAGTGAAGAAATTAACACAAACCAAGGCTGGAGTTGCCCTTGACAACAGTGATAGTCCTTTCAAAGTTGCTCCCGGAGGTCAGCGCCTCCTTGTCATCGTCTTCTGCCGGTTCTTTCACGCCGACGTCCTCGTCCTTACGGAGAGATAATTCGACAAGGTTATTCAACAGAAAAGATGAAAAGAGACTTCAAACAAAGCTGGGCTCTTTAGAGCGGCCTTTCCCAAACTTCAGTTGTTTGTTAAGTTTGAAATATAATATTACGACAGGTAATATGTAGAGGTTATACTGTTTTATAATTTCACAACTCAAACTATTACCTGTCTTTATTCTCCTTGACCATCTTTAATCTGCTCCACCATTAGAGTGTTCTTTGCCTCCCCAACACACACACACACACACACACACACACTGGTGCACTCACACTAATAAATGCACACAGCACTCGTCCTTCTCCTGCTGTTTCTCTGCTCTTCATGCTTCTACGCTGACTTACTTAATCGGCTGCATGTTCTATAACTTCTCCCCCAAACGATCAACTCGTGTTAAGAATGCTTTCACCTGCGATCGCGTTCTCACCTCAGCAGGTGAGCAGTGTAAGGCAGAGTAATGCCATCTTTACGTTAATGGCAGCGTATCAAATCGATCCAAAACAGCGTGGTCCTCAGTGAAATCGACAGCAACAGAGTGGGCTTAAAAGTCTTTAAAACTGAAGCATGTGAGGATCCTTATTAACTACGAGACGTCACACTTCAATCCATGAGTGTCAAAGATCCAAGGTTTTTCTATCTCTCCCCCCTATCTGGGTGTCGGTGTTGCTTCTCTGGGGAGCATGTGTGGAGACTCTGCTTGAGACAGGTCCACGATATGAAAAGAGTGAGAGGGTTGTCCATCAGTTTATCGATCGTGGATGGTGGTGATCTTTCTAGATAAAAAAGGAGGAAAATGCTAAAATTGTATGGCAGATAACTTCACTGCCTTAAAATGCCTGTTTTGTCCGACCGGGTAAACCCTTGATAGTATGTAGTGACGAATGCTCCTTTTTGTTTGTGTTGTTAAGGTCAGTATTTGAGTGGATTTTGTTTCATGCAAATAAATGAGCGTTTGTGTAAATCTGTAGTTTCCCACAAAGCAGAGGGGAACATCACGTTTCATCACTACAGCTGTCCTTCACAGGCAAAGCAAAGTATTTAGACATGCTGATGGCAAAAAAGACACATACAAGGAAGTTCACAATCAGAGAGAAGTATTATAAGTTCACTAACTTCTATGTAATGTCATTAAAAGACTGTTTTAATCAGGTTAAGGATGAATCATCATGGTGATATTTATTTATTCATTCTGCTTTGTGGAGGTTCTTTCACAGCCCGTCTGCACCGCTTTAAAGGACAGGTACCGGCAGGTGCGGCACATGGGAAATGAATTGAAAATAAAAAAAAAAGCATGAACTTTTGTTTCTACAATATTTGAAAAGAGCCTCACATCTGAGTGAGGAGAGGGAGGAAGTTACCTTGAGAAATTATTTTTCAAAGAAGATCAGGGATGATATATTTTTCAGTTTTTCTAATTAACCTTTTCAAATATGGGATTTTTTTTCCCCTGCATGCCAATCACCAGCTATCATTCATCGTTTCAACTGAATGATCCTTGCTCATCCTGTTTTGAAGTCTACCAACTCTACAGGTCACAATAAGCTTATTTTACCTTCATCAAAATCTTTATATCTCCGAAAGACGGAGGCAGCTCCACGGACTCCTCTGGGACGTTTGCAAACGTGCTGTATGAGTTCAAGCTCTCCACTTCGTCCTCTTTGCTCACATGCTGTGCCAGCAGGTACTGATCATTACTGCTCAGTATGGAGGTCAAATCGGAGGCGTGACCTCTCAGACTCGGCGGGGAGAACGGGGGGACTTCTCCAGAGAGAACGCCTGAGTGTCGTCTGGGAAGCCGGACGCCGCTGCGAAGCGAGGAGGCTCCTCCGACAAGTCGAGACGAGCTGTCAGCTGAGGTAAAATAAAGCACAGCAGCTGAATGAACGTTCCACTCTGTTAGATAGACAATTGCCCAACAGGGGGAATTCATCTCGCTCAATCGCCGTCCTACCCTCCTTGTAATGAGCCATAGAAAAGCCATCAGTGGCCAATAGAGAACAGCAGAATTACTGGGGATCTTGAGCTTGCAAAGCACAAAATAGTTTGTTTTTTTTAACTTCATTTAAGACATTATTAGAAACAGACTGTGTGGTGATGAATCTCAACAAGCCCTTTTGTTTTGGAGCCGGGAAAAAACGTAGAAATCTTTGGCAAAAAAATTAAAATATGCAAATTCAAGTGGGCCTCAATATACAAACACGATACAGAGATCTAAAGCAGAAATGTGTGAGTCAGATCAAATGAGGTGGATAAATACTTTCTGGGCTGCTAAATCTAAAAGTGTGAGTAGTCACAGGGATCTGTACAACATCAGTTATGAAAAGAGGAATGACATTTCAAGGTATAAGTAAAACATCTAAATTGTGTTTATTTCTGCGGGGGGGGGGGGTTGTAAACTTTAAACTATTTAAAATGTCTGTATTTTTTATGGCTACATTTCTTCATACCCTTCAAAAAAGTGCACATAACATTATTACAGACAATAATTATTTAAATGGCATGCATGGTTTATTAGGGAGGGAGTGATAAATAAATAAAAATTCAATAAAATGCTGTTTGCAAACCTCTTAATTATCCACACATGACATGAAAGAGTCCAAACATTAATCTTTAAATATCACCCACTAGTCAAAGTTTACCGAATAAAACTTTTCATTGCACAGAACGATATCAATGGAGCTGAGTCTGTTAAATTGATCTAATCTCCTGTTTTTTTTTAAAGGGCACAGTCCTTTTTTACACAGCGATAAGGAAGGAAAAATATCTAAAAAAAGTACTTTTTCATTGGCCTTGAAGAGAATGAACTTGTGTGTGTGCACATGAATAACTCTCTTCAAAGCCAAACAACCAAACATCAAAGAAGCAAAAACAGCAATCTATCAGTGTGATCATGAGAAAAGAAGCTGTCAGTGTTTCATCGACAGGAACGTTGGAGGCCGACTTTGTGGGCTCGCTGAGCTTATTTGATCTTTAACTCCCTGCTGACCTTTCTACTGTTGTCCCACAAACAGTTATGGACCAGACAGGAACAACACATCCATATTCCTTCAAAATATATCGCCTTAGATACTGTCTGCCCGTCTGAAAAGCTGAGCCACCATTTACTGTCACTGAAGTAAGGCTGAGATTTATCTGCAGTTTCTCCCTGGAGCTTTAGAGAGGAAAACGGTTCATCATGACAAGAAGACTGAGCTGTCTGACCTCATACAAACATTTGAAATCCGTTTCTGTGAAATCCCCAAGTCATAAAACGCCTTAAAATGCCTTATGCCATGTGTGTCCCTCTAGGATGCTTTGTTTTAGTATACATTTCCAAGGAAAGTCTGACAAGTCTGAAAGTGCGACCTTTGGGAGAACTGGAAGCACACAGATACCTTAAGGAAAAATGTTGTGTGCCCCTCACTGTTTTTGTTGATTTTCTTATAATTTCAGATCCATTTGGGGAGCTGCTCTTGGGCACTCAAAGCAACAGAAGCAGCTGCAATAGTCGCAGAACAACACAATCAGTCTTGTTATGACTGCCCAAACAAAGGGAGCAAGCACTTCACATGACATTTAAGCTTTCAATTACAAAAAGCACAACATAATGACCACCTTTTTACTACATTAAAGGGCAGTCACTGTTGCAGGGACATCTATTAAAATGAGGGAAACATTCAAGATTGCTTTCAGCTTCAGCTGTTCCTACATGGTGAAAAGAAAGGGGTTGTTTACCTTGGGTGTAGATGAGTGCAGGAAGTCCAAGTCTGCACTGCAGGTGCTGCCGTGCAGAGCAATCATGGACGCCTGGAAAGTGTCGTCCATGATACTAGAGTAAGTGTGATCTAACATCTTCTCGTCAGACAGGTCGGCTTCTCCTGTGTCAATCTGTAAGGACGAATGGAAGAAGTTGAACACACAGGGACACAATACAGGCTGCTATCATTTGAACTATCCAATCACAGAGAGCTAAAATTACAATATTATATTTACCTAAAGTCCCTCATGCTTAACTTATCTAGTTACAAAATACAGCTGACACAAAAATAAATGCAGCACTCGAGTAATGGCATATAACCAAGCTTACTGTTAAATTTAAAAAAAGCAAGCAGACCTCTCTTGGTGAGGAAAATATTACATGTAAAGTACTGTTTATTTTCCATGTTTCATGTTGTTTTGATTGTTTTATTTGTATTTATGTCTTCATTCTTTTCCCAAAAGCTAACTAACCAATGCCGGCTCTGCTCGGTAAACGACGCCCTCAGCCAGTCCTCCTTCCTCTCCTTCTTCAACCCTTATATTGTTGAAGGCATATGAATGGATGGTGGATGATGAAGTTATTTCCTGCTCACCATATGGGTGTGGAGAGTGGGAATATCCTAAATCCTAGGAAAGTGGAGAGATTCTTTCAGTGCCTCCAGCTATTTATTATTTTATTTTCGGTTTTTTACGCCCAGATAAAGCCGCTACGAATGTTAGTATGGAATGGAAAAAAGAAGTGAGGAGTTAGAGAAGCTTTCATACACTATGCAAAGAGTTAGTGTTGATCTTGCTAAGGAAGCGTTCAAGAAGAGAAAATGCTCAACACGGCACACTCGTGACTCTCTTTGAATGAATTCTTAACAGAAAAGATCTTAAACATTTCATGTATTCTTCAGAGTTGAGTGTACTATGCAGCCCAGACAGAAAAGAAAGGAGCATAGGCATATTGGAGGATTACTCTTGACTGACTCAATCTTGGGAGGCAATACGATAAAATACCCCTGTAGAAGCACATTCCATGTCCAGAGGGAGGGTTTGTAAGCTCCACAGAGGCTTCCTTCCTACAGCTCTGTAATACAGCTAACCTACGCAGCCCAGAGGTCTCACTGAGTAATCCAACAACAGATTCAATACCAGAGAAATGCAGCTCTTAAGCTGAAAGAATGCATGAATTTCTGCAGAGGATCCCATAGCCATGAACATGGCATTAGACTGAGTGGGTGTTTTGTCAGGTGCCTATGTGTGTTTAAATGTTACAGAGAGTCTGTGCTCTTGGAAAAATAATGAGAACTTAATAATATGAAACAAAGGGGCATGGAGCTTTTTGGGATGGCCGCCTCCACTGAAAAGAACAATGGGTGGAAAGCTTAACCATACAGCCACTCTTTTTCCCGCATGAAAAATTCAAGCCCTTGTAAGCCGAAACCTCATGATGGAATACTGAGTCACATGATATAAAGACAGCCTGATTCACAGCCACTCATACATGCACTGATAAACCCATGACATGCAGATAACAAAAAAAAAGAAACCACAGCATTATGTATAAAACTATTTTCTGTTCACCCTCACACACAAGTCACATTTTACATTACGTTTTTGGATTTAAAGCCAAGGGGAAAAAGTAACAATCCTGATTCTGGTTCTTACAGGCAGTGGTTTGGCAACTCCTATCTGGACCGTGCCAAGCTTGGCCCCCTTCAAGGCCTGCACGGCATCCTCCAGGCTGGCGTTCTCCAGGTCGGTGCTGTTGACGTACATGAGCCTGTCTCCCGGCAGCAGTCTGCCATCCTGCTCCGCGACACCGTTAGGAACCAGAGAGCGAATCACGATCACTGTCTTAGAGGGGTCCAGTGGGTCCTGTGGCAGGGAGAGACCGGAAAAGTACTTTTAAGAAGAGGTTCTTCTTACCTACATTTTAAGGTCCATATTTTCACAAATCCAATATGTTCCAGGAATATTTCCCACCTGGTAGTCCAAGATGCTGAATCCTAGTCCTCCTTCTCCTTTTTCGAGCTCTATATTCTGGATCTCCAGCTCCCACATAGCTAAAGGAGATCCTATTGCCTCCTCTGTGACATTATCCCGTGTCACTGCTGCTGTGTTCCCTTCTGAGTCTCCAACAACCAGAACACTGCTCAGGTCTATTTGTTTCTGCTGAGGAAAAAAGCCCAAAATCTCTGAGTAACTAACAGCATGCCTCCCTCAGTTTCACTCCCTACCCCATAGGCTGTTAGCCTCAAGTTGTGTCTCTGGCTCAGGTTTCTGGCAGGAGATAAAAGGGAAATATCTTTGCGATACTCGAGCTTCAGTACATTATCACAGATAAAGCTGGAGAGATGAAAATACTCTTCCCAAAGGGCCTTATATGCTTTATATCTAGAGCAAATATTGTTGGCTCCTGCCTTACTAGATCTGGTTAAAATAAACTTTCAGTCTCTCCCTGCTTATCACACAATCTTAATCCACTTTAGTTGATATTTGGAAGAAATATAATAAGCATAACATGGTTGATGGGTACGTCAACTTGAAAAATATTTCAAATTCATGTATATGTGTTACGAAAAAACAAATACTTTATGTATAAAGATTCCTAAAATCTAGCAGAAATCTTTAGTTATATACTGTAGTATGCTGATGAAAAGACAAGATAAGATAAACCTTTATTCATCCCACAACGGAGAAATTTAAGACATACAGTACCTTCAATTCTGGGGTTGTGGATAAATCCTCTGACTCTCTCGGTTGGACGGTTTCCATGTCAGTCTGCAGGTGAGGGGCGGGCCTACAGCAGGTCATAAACACACTGAGGGGAAGCTCCTTCAAGATTCTGACGACTTCCTTGTGGGTCTCACCAATTAGGGATATACCATTGACCTGTGACAAAAAAAAACAACGTTTGTTGATAATGAAAAAACCCCTCTGTAGAGCAGCTTTAAATGTAGCTTTGATTCAATCTGTTATGTGAGGGAAATTGAATATCTGAAATTTAAGGCACAAGTCATTCATCCCACCAAACAGACTTTTTACTTTAGCACTACACAAGTGGCTTATTGAAACCACTTCAACCAAATGATGTCAATGCCTATTCAAGCTTGAACAGCTTGCTGCTATAGACCTTGTTTTTAAATAAATGTTTTATTTTAATTATGGTGCTACATACCTCCAGCAGTTCATCTCCACTGAAGAGCTTGCCACAGCGACCAACAGGACCCTCAGGTAGAACAGAGCGGATGTAATGGTGCCCGCTGCTAGCTTCAAGACTGATGCCCAGGCCACTGCTCTCACTATATTTCTCCACCTGAGCCACCTGACATTCAAACAAACTCAGGTTAGTCTTTACATCAGCAGTTATGAGCTGTTTATAATTTGTAAAGCAAGTGTCAAGAAACATAGTTCTGGATAGTTTAATTCGATGAATGAGAGAAAGAAAGTCACTTACTACAACTTCATTACTTGGACCCAGAATCTCTTGCCATTTTGTCATTAATTCCTCCTCTTCAACAGCTGTTAGCTTCATCCCTTTGAATCGCAATAGAAAGGAAAGTACATGCGTTGATACAAAATGAAATAAACATGCAAGGGTTTTGACTATTCCCAGCAAGGAATGGAACATAAACATCAACTATTTCCAAAGCAATAATAAAGTCTTAACACTCTAAAAACTTTGAACAAGTGCAGCATCTACTCGACAGCACCCATCTCAGTATTTCCTCACAGTGTATTTGGCCAGTCTGTGTGGTCCTGTCAACAATAACCCTTATCTGTCAGATGTGTACCCAGTATCTCCGCTGGTGTACTTAAAGGAGAACCCCAGCCTCTTACCATGTTTGTCTTCTGTTAACTGATCTGTGGCCTGGCTGACATCTGATCCGTCACTCTTTGTGTGGAGCGCCTTTTCATCTGTGGTGACTGTAAAAACACACAATGGACAGTGAGACAGACAGAAGCAGGCGGCAGCACAGACACAATGACATTACAGGCCACTGGAAATTGTTTTCTATTCTCCAATATCAGCACTCATAAAAACAAAAATATAGATGAATGCTGAGTTTACCTTAAGAATGTTTTTTTTTTCCTCTGTCGTGATGCTTTTGATGTCTTATGTGAAGCACTTTGAATTGCCTTGTTGTTGAAATGTGCTATATAAATAAACTTGCCTTGCCTTGAAATGTCCTTTTATTTGAGAAAAAAAATGCTCTTTAATGCTCTTTTATTAACACCTTCACCTTAGAAGAGAAACTTCTCTAATTTCCCTACTGGTCAGAAGAGGACATGCAAGACTTTGCTGATGTTATCCATAATCACTCAAGGACTTCAAATATATGTTTAATGATCCTGGTACTTTTTATAATACTTCATGCCACTGTTTATGTCTTTGGAGTTCCACAGGGCACTGAATTGGTCACCCATGAAATTACTACCCATGCTGTCAGCAAGCCACAATCTATCCTGTACATCAGCAGCTTTTAAATGCCCACATAAAACGAAAGCAAACTGGTCTATTTAGTGAAAAGGAAGTAAACAACCTTCACGCTGACATATTCACTGGGTAGTTAAATTTCTTTTTGTATGCACATTCAGCTGAACTCATAATCCAATGACCGCTTAGTTGACTTAAATACATTCTAGTTGCTAGCAAAACTTTACTTTCTACCCCAAGAGAACACCAAGGGTAAATCCACCAAGGTGGAAAGCAATGATGAATACATTTGTTGAAGACTCTTTTCTCTACACTTATTGTCTTAGAGGGTGCTGCTGTAATATTCTTAATTATAGTTTTTACAGCAGCAAAGACGATACTTGCCTTTTATGTTTCTTTTTAACTAGTGAATGCTAATTTTCTTCATGCTTTTGGGCTCCATCTTCCTGCTGCCGAGCCTAATTCCTTTCAAGCTTCAGCCATCACAACCAACAACTTTTGCATTGGCATAGAGATCCTGTCAGTTCTGACAAGATTATAATCTTTCTGTTTAACCTGTGTAGTTTTTATATATACTGTATATATACAATATATCAATTAAAAAAAAAAAAAAGTAACATATCATGAAGACCTTAGATGAAGGCCTAAGAGGAAACTCAGATGTCATTTTCTTAGTTGCAAGGATGCCATGTCAAATATTGGGCATCATTCTGTATGCTTGTCCATTGCTGAATACTTCATAGGATCTACACAGCATTGGATTCTTTCTGTAGATACTTTTTTGGGACCACTGGACATTGAAAAATGTCTGAATAAAATATTCACAAATTTATATTTAAAAGAAAAACAGACTGAATGAAATCACTCATCTTTTAAGTAACAAACACAGAAATGTAAGAGAAAAAGACGAGGGTCTGTCAATGCAGTACATTATTCCTTCAGTGCACTAAAACAGTTGGGTGAGAAAGGCAGCACTCAACAGAAATTGTTTTAACAAAATCTAATTTAATTTCTGAAAAAATAGTTTTTTCCTCTTGTACTTTGTTATGAATGATTAATTATAAGTGCAGTTCCCTCCATTATGAAGACAAGATGGACAATAACATGGCTGTACTGAATTGCTGCTTTTGAGGAGCTGTCTAAGAGGGAAAAAACATTGTTTAACATCAAGAACAGTTTCAATTAATTAAAGTTTATCAACAAATACAGCAGACTAAAGTTCACATCATATTCACTAAATGCCCAATAATTCATGATGTTGAAAGTTCTTCTGGATTTTACTTCTGTTGATTGGAGTGAAATTTTAATTAGGAGTCATTCATCACTGCATAATAAAAACTCCTGTCTCGGACAAATTTGCACATCAAACAACACCTTTTTTCTTACAGGATGATGAGAAGCAAACTGTGTTTTAGCCCTCCCTCATTAAATTCCTCTCACTCTCTCCTCCCTACCTTGAACAGCCTCCTCGGCTTTATTGCTCTCCAGCTCCAGCTCCAGCTCCCTCATGACAGTGGTGGTGGTGGGGATGGGGATGGCGGTGGTGCATGGGGTCAGGACAGTGGCGACGGGGGTAACAGCAGGGGGGATCTCCTCAGGCTTGAAGCCCCGCCGGATCAACTTTAGGTGGACTGTCTGGCCCGTGTGTCTGAGCACTTCCACTGCCTGCTGATTGGTGTATCCCTGGATATTAACACTGTCTACCTGCAGGGGGCGATCATTTGTAAGTGCAGGGGTTAAACGGGCCAGAAAAATGCTGGATTAGGCTTTTATTCTTATGTGACAGAAGCTCATTATTCTTAAGAAGAATATTTCATTAGAGCACATAAACACACCAATACACCAGTAAAAAAATACAATGTGTTAGAATTTTAGTGAACACAGCAATTCTTTAACTTGTGTTTCCAATGATGCAAGAAATAAAAACACTTTATCTTCATCTTTTCAGTCATGGAGTTCTAAATCAGAAAATGGAACTACTCAGTGTGGAAGGGCTGCCCTCCGTAGACTTAATGATTAAAACAGATAGCATAAAACCTTCACAGCTACTGATCACAGACACAATAGTCATTGCTACCAATGTCATATTTGGGGTACTTACAGCTATAATCTGGTCTCCGACATGAACCCGTCCATCTTGATCAACAGCACTGTCTTTTGTTATGCTCTTAACAAAAATACCAGAGGGCTCTGAAGAGTCAGAATCAGAAAACAATATTACAGAGATGACAAACATTAGTCATGATTTCAGACATTTCAGAAGACCAAAGGAGGACAGCATCGGATGTTTCGGTGTGTTGTAAAAAGTCTGTGTAAGCATTTGTAAGCTAATGCATCGATGCTAACCTTGGGGGAAAAATACTGCGAATCCGTTTTAGCAATTTAGTGTTTATGTTGTTTTTTTATTCAATCGATAAAATAGTTTGAAAAAGCCGTCTGTTGTCCATTGTAGCTGATTGATAGATTTTTAGGTGGATGAGGAAGAAAATAAAGCAAAAATATATCATGAAGTGTTTTTCACTTTCACTGAGGTTGACACATTAACATCATCCTATAAAATTTGTGAGGCTATTGTACTAGCAAACATCCAGATCCACCATGAACTAACTGATGTTGGAAAGGTAGCATGAGCTGACTTATTCTGGGTTTTGTGTGGAAAGAAGTTACCAAACCTCAATGAGAGTGCAATAAGCTAAGAGATGCCAGTGCAGAGGTTGGAGATCTAACTTGTTTATCAGGACATGCAAAATTATTTTTTATTACACACTTCTAATGATTGTAGGCTGGAAAAATACATACAGTATCATTTCAGCTTTAATATACAAAGTACAACTTCAACACGACATTAAAATGTAATCTGAAGTTTCTCACCTGAATTTTTATCTCCAACATAGCCAGCGATAGTTATGCCCAGTCCCTGTGTGTTCTTAGTAAGGCTCACATCAAACGCTTCAGCTTCCTCCTCCTCACATCCCTGTGAAAAGATTGAATAAATTGGATGACAGGTGCAAAAACTGATCACAAACTAAAGTTAAGGCTGATTCATCCGTCATCTGACAGCAGCATGGTCACCAAAACAAACTTTTCATCTTTGGGAAAAAAGCCCTTTGAACCGGTGAGCCATAAAAACCAATGGAAAGAATATTTGTCATTTGAAGAGTGAGTCACTGAAATTCATTCATACTTAAATAGAGCTGAGTGTTGAAAATAGCCATGAAATCGCTGTTTCTGAGACAGGAAAGCAATACCTGCTCTCCAAAGTGTGAGTCACAAGTGATGCAGGCTTCAACCCTCTTTATTTTCATTGATTCATACTGTCAGGCATAAGACAGAATAAAGCTGAAGATGAAAACGCTGAACTTAAGGTGTGAAATGTTTTGATCTAAGTGTATGACTCTGTGTGTGTCCTAATCAATTACAATTTAGGTGTTGTTTTTAAAGTGACACCATTTTCCTCACCTGTTGTTCAGTGACAGTGGGGAGCACTACGGGCATGACAGCAGAGACAGAAGGAGTCTCGTCTACAGGACCCCTGGTGACAACCAGCTTCACCCTGTTGCCACACTGCCTGAGGACCTGAGCCACCTGTTCGCTGCCCATCCCATACAGGTCAGTCTCTCCAATTCTCAGGATGTGGTCACCACTACGCAGGCGGCCATCCTGAGGTAAATAACACATTTTCTGACTTAATATGTGTACCATCATGTGTCAGTACCAAACAAAACAAAAAACTAACACAGAATTATTATATGCTTGCTCACGATCAACAAGAGTAACAACAATCTCTAAAATTTAGAAATAGAAATTGGAAGGTATCAGTGAATGAATCATTTTAAAACCCTCAAAATAAATAAAGTAGAGATGTTTTTATGTAATCACCTGATCCGCGATCCCTCCAGGAAGGATGGTTTTGACAATAACCCCCGTGGTTTTTCCTCCCACAATACCGAAGCCGAGACCAGTGCCATCGTTGACAAGCTCTATTGTCTCCACGTGCTGCCACTAGTGAAAGAGAAGAAACAATGAAGATTAAAGAAGACTTTTTTTTTTAAATTATGCAGCCATAAACCCCAGGTCATAACATAGCCTTTCTTATATTTATTATATAGCAACATCCAAATGAAATTAAGGATAACATTTGATCAGTAGTTATGGCAATTTAAAAAATATATATATATCTATTTGTATTCATAGTGTCATATTTTCTGAGATGCTGGATGTGTCCATGGTGTCTTTATCTGTTTGTCTGATGGAACTGGATGTGTAATAAATGAAGTGTGGTACATCTCCTCAAGCTTATCTTGTCAGAGGTTGTTTCTTCCTTGCAGACATAACTAAGCCTTGAACTTCAAATCAACAAGTTTGTTTACAAGTGCAAGTTTCCAATCATGAAAGAAGTGTTAAGAGTGTGCAGTGTCTGTACCGCGCTGGAGTTAGCTGAGAGTGTACTAGCAGCAGAAGGCGTGCGAGACACCGCAGGGCTGGCCAGCTGAGGTATCGGTCCTCTTGCCACAGCGAGCTGCACCCTCTCTGAAGCGCTCTGCAGAATGCCGATAGCCTGCTGGTGGGTCACTGTTTGGTCCAGGGGCTGGCCATTGATGGCTAAAATCTGGTCAGCTTCTTTGAGCTTCCCATCACTGTAAGGGAAAGAAGCAGGTAGAAAGAGTGACATAGTGTTAGAAATGGTTTCTGAGCCTCTGAGGTTCTAACTGTCTGATGAGGGCATTCAAAGTAGAGTTTTGATTTGAAGACTAGATCAAATTCAACATAACTGCCAAATGTGGAATACTTCCTGGAACATAGACTTTTCATAATTAAATTGAATCAGTCTTGAGCTCTCTCGCTGTTCTTTGAACAATATTGACTGATACATACCAGTGTGCGATGCTTCCTGGTTGAATTTCCTGGATAAAGATCCCAAGTTCTCCCCGATTCTCGCTCTTAAGTCCCACCACGCTGAATCCCAGACCTCCTGACACTGGCTTCTGCAGGTCCACATGTTGGACGTAGCGGCCCTAGATCAAACACACAAGCAGTGTATAATATTTGGCTTTGTACTGATTCACTATAGCATCAAAGCTTTAGGCAGCCATTCAAAGTCTATGTGGAGCTCCTCAAGAGAAAAGAACTCAGTGTGAAGTAAGTCCTTTTTCATCTTCAATGCAAAAAGGGAAAAAAATGAACTTTTTAATTGTGTAAACAATAAAAGAAATGTGTCATAAATAAGCAGAATGTCCCTTAAAGCAACAATATGTGACCTTCCCATCTTAAAATAGAAGTTACAAAGTCGATCTTGAAGTACAATAACTTTCAACAGGAAGTCTCCCAGTTGATCTCTCCCTGGTCCCCAGCTTTGGATACTATGTAAGTTTGGCAGCGGGCCGCCGTTCTCGTAACAGCAGAGATGCGCCGGTTGCCATATCTAAGGCTGATTCAAATAACCGATTCTTTCCTTGTCTGAACTGCCCATACCAATTTTGACTGATTCCGATTTTCTCTCTTTAAAGCACGACAATTTACAGCAAAAACATATGAAAATTAGTTTTTATCATGTTTTACATCAGTTGGTTATCAATATCAATCTATTATATTTCCTACAAAGTGCAACGTCTTACATCAGGTCAAACTTTTTGATTACACCCTTAAAGTGGTTTTAAGTGTCCGACCACAATCAAAGTATATTACGGTGACCTAGCGTGAGGCAGGAAAACAGAGCGAGAAGGAGGAAGAGAGACAGTGTGTCAGAGAGAGAGCAGATACGAGCCACACAGACACATGGATCTGCCCTCAGGCAAGATGAGCAAGGAGAGGAGCTTTGCTTATCCTCCAGTGTGTCAAAGCTCAATCTCCTCTGCTGATGGGCACCTCACTTACAAACTGCAGAGACGTCAGCTTGTGCTCTTGTGGCTGTTGTGCTATTGTTTTGTGACGCCATGCACATGGCAGGATACGGCTCCTGTCTGTGAGTCTGCGAGAATACCTCACAAAGAATAAATCGGCTCAGAATCAGCTGCTCTTGTGAGGACAATTCGATCACCGGTCACAGCCAAGCAGGATGAAAATCATCTGATTCAGGTCAAATCGGTGCACCTTTACTTTACTGCACTAGCCAGTTGACCCATCTCGATACAGTTTGACACAGGCTAAGACACATTAGAGTGAGGGGACGGGTGAAGCTTAGAAGAGAAAAACAGAGAGTGGCCGAGCAGGAGGCCGAGTGCACATCCCCTGCATATAATATTCATAACAGATTGCGGCGTATTGTTTCATGTGTCATCCTTGTCTCATGGTTAGCACCTTTACTGGGTGCAGAAAGTCATCCAACCCAAGTTATGTCTCAGGCTTGCTAATAACCACACAAATAAACGAATGAATCCATCTTACACCAAAAGCTGTCTCTACAACGGGCTGTAGACACTAGCAGAGTTATATGACCTGCCCAATGATTGCCTTGCTTCACAGTTGTCCGTACCTGCGCCATAGTTTGAATAGTTCGATCAAACTCCTCAGATGCTGTCTGGCCATTGATGTATGCAGCAGCTGGAGTATCTGAGCAGGACACATGGCTGCCATTGGGCTTGACTGCTGCGACGTGATCATCAAGGTCACTCCCACGTGAGAGCGGCACAGTCCCCTGTAAAAAAAATAATGTTTAATTATTTTACTATTCATGTTTACCTGTGTAAAAGATGAGATGTCGTTTGTTAAGTTTCTAGTTTGCTGCTACATAACAGTTTTTAATTTAAGAAAAATGCCTCTACAGAAGGCAGCAATCACTGGCTTTAATCCAACCAAATACAATTAAAAGTTGGAACAAAAAACACAAGTAATTCCTTGCGCTAACGTTTAAATTTAGCAAATTTAATTTTAGACACCAGAACACTGAAGTGTGGTTGTCTGATGCCACTTGGATGCCAGAGAGTTGGTTATCCCAGCACGATTAGCTGGATCCATGGCAGCCTAATCCTTCAGGAGATAATGACTCTTAGCTGATGTTCCAACAATGACTCGACTCCAAATACAATATTTCCATCATGGTGGGGGAAAAGCATCACTGGCCATCTGGATGCCTTAATAAGCTCGGGTTTTAATTAGTGCAATGACTTTACTTGTGTGACAGATGAATTACATGAAAGCTACAACTACATAAAACAGTGTTTTTCCAGTTTCATTAGCCAAAGGGCATAACGTTTATGACCATCTGAATTGGATTCAAAAGGACGGACATTATGCACTGCAATAATTTCATAAACACACCATTTGGCATATGGCGCTGCCAAGCTAAAGCTGCCTGTGTGAACTTGTGTATGAACATATATGGAAGTCGACCGCACAACTTTCAGAGCTTTGAGTAGATGTACTGTAAAGTATGCCTCCTTTAAACACGGTCCCAGATTAATCCTAAGAAACAAAACCACACTGGACAGGACACATTAGGGCTGCACACTGCAAACAAAAACCCTATGGGCCAGGCTAAGTTAGCGTAGCATGCTGCTAAGTTGCTGTCCTCATGCTTGAGCTTTGTTAGCTGGGGCCTGGCTAAGAGGATTAAAGTTCCAGTTTGGTTCTTGCACATTTAAGAAATTGTTTCTGCCCCACTTCACACAGCGGCCTGTTTCTCATTGGAGGAGTGGGGCCTTGTCGCCATAGCGACATGGCCTGTGCAAGGCCTAACGAGTAGAGCCAGACTGACGGACAGTGTGTGTCTGTGTTCATGTGTCTGGCTCTCAAAACGTAATACACGCTCTGTCTAATTTGGTTCTGTTAAAGGGGACCAAACAAGTGCAGTAGGGTTTTGTCACTCCATGAAAACATGATGCAGCTCTTGAATTATGTCTCTCTACCATTGTTCAAATGTAGAATAAATCCATTTTAAATTTCCAATATAAAAGACTGCTTGATAAATATTTCTTTGTAAAACAAACATGCATACATCTGCACACACACTTAGGAATGTACCTCTTTTGAAATAGGCTAAATCTCTACTACACAAAAATTCCAGCAGGGCTTTTATAATCTAAATTCCACAAGGGGTAAAAAGCTCTTGCATCCCTGCCTCCCTCTGCATAGCTCACATATTTTCGTCTCTATTTCTCAAACGCTTTCCCTGGCTCCTCTCCACTGTGACTTAAGAGCTCTTTCCTTCCACTTAAATGTTCAATTCTCTATGGAGAGAATCCGCCTGAAAAGGAGTCCCTGACTTGGACCAACTATCTCTGCTCTTGTTCACATATTATAACTGGCTTGAACCCTGACAGCAATTTTGCCATGGCTGAAACATTAGTGAGGACGGGGGTTGAAAGTGGGAAAGGGTTTGTGTCTCGACACGAGCCAAAAAGTGAATCAGTGAGGTCACAAAGGAAACAGGAGAGATAAAGGCTGAAGCAATCCTAGGTATACCGATACAGAAGATATTCCAACCATACTGAGGTTAGCAGTTTCTTTTTCTTCTGAGATATGCTGTTGTGATCATGTAATTGGCAAAAGACTTCCACACATATTTTATATTCTTAAAACAGTGAAACTATCCCATATGCTCATCAAAACCATTACTGGTCACTGCAGTTGTTTCTCTTCTCTGTACCAGCTGTTGAGAGCTCCCTTAATGTGTTTCCACAGTCTACTTTCTTTGCAATAATGCATTCAAAAGTTCAGCCAAACCAGTTATGCGGCTTCAATATCCTGAATTAGTGTAATTAAATGGGCACCTTCCCAAGGGCACAGGCCCTTTAAGTGCAAAATTCCATCTTTGTGCTCCACTGCAGTTCAGCAATGAGACACCAAGATGGACTTGTTGCACATAAATAACCTTACATTTGAAAGACCACCACTAATTTGAACTAAATTAAACTGCTTAGCCCTTATCATAGCCTTCACTGAATTAGAATGCCATTGTGAAAATACTTCAAAACATGAATAATTACAGAACTACAAACTCCTTTATTGTACAGTATGTGTACACCCATGTAATTTTACATGTCTTTGGCAACTAAAACCATTGTAATCATATTGCTTTTAGTTTTCAAACTTGCTCTGGGTAACTCCTAAAGGCTCCCTCATGTCTCAACATCAAAATGTCGCCACACTAATCGTCCTCAACCAGCATTATGACCATTAAAGTTCACAAATATGACTGCTACTGTTTTTGATGCTGCCAGCTGTCATTTTGGCAGTTTATAGATATTATAAATTAATGTTGCGGACCTCTAAATGACCATTACCTTGTACCCCTTAATGACCTTCCATGTTGCCTTTGTAGCATCACTCATTTGTAATCACCAATGTTACTCATAGTTAACAAGTTCACAGTCTTGCAGGTCCAGTTAAGCTTTCTATAATGAGGTCTGCTTTGTTTACAAGCAAATAAAACCTACTTCACTTTTATGCTTAAAATAGTCCTGTTGTTATGTTTGATGGCGGGCTAATTGGAGTCTTGACATCAACAAAGCTTTACCTGGTCTCTGAGATGCTGGACAGACTTCTGCAGGGCCAGGATCTGGTGGAAGAGGGGGCTCTGGAGCACTGATTTGAGCAGGTTGAGCTTTTCCTCGGTGGGCACCTCCCCCCGCTCCTTCAGTTTGGCCTGGAGACGCTCCACCGCCTGCAAGGCACGCTGGGTATCTGCAAGTCGTCGCATATTTCAGTGACAGGGCCGGTTGGAGTGAGGGAGTGGAGTGGATGCAGGGAGAGATAGAGGTGGAGAGAGGACAGAGGCTTTATCAGCACATGGGCGGCAGAGATAGTGGGACAGGGAATTGTGTTTGGACATGCCCACATTTTTACATGTAAATATCCTTCTTTGAATTCATTTCTTAAGAATATACAATAAGCTTTACAATTTGGCTTGTGCCTTTACTCTTTCTCTCTTTATGTTTAACAATGGCATGTAAATAAAGTATAAAGAAGAATGCAGAGACCTGTAGGCTTAGCTAAGGCTGACTGGGGACAAGCAGACCTTACTATATTGAAATCACGAACCATCAGGCTTTATACCAGAAGAAAGAAAAACTTAATTCTCAGCATGCTGCTTGTTTGCAGAAAAGCAATGTTTCCGTTGCTGTCTATAGGGTCAATGGTGGGTTGCACAGCAGCAAAGAATGGTTATCAGGAGGGAAAGATATAAGAAGCCGACCCTCCACAGTTTGCTTGCTGGACCCTGCATAAGCCCCGCAATCGAGCAACTCCAGAGTGGCTTGTTAGAGCGGATGGGCCAGCCCAACGTCATCAAAACAGAAATGAAGCAATTTCCAAAGCTTACCAACTGTGACTAACACCTAATCGGGCGTGCACAAGGTCCAGAGCACTCTTTGCACTTAAAAGCTTTGTTGTTTGAACAAAGGTTGTAAACAAGCTGGCGACAATGGAGCCTGAGCAGATTTTTTCCTATTCTCTTCTGCTCCCATGCAGGTGGCTGTTACATTGTCAGTGATCTTGACTTAGTGTGCATAATGAGGAGTCCCACCAGAGTGTTGCATGCATGTGTGTTTCTAAAAGACAGTGTGGCAAGAGCGGGTTTAACAGATGTTATCAGTGAAGTCGATACGGGCGAACCAAAGGATTGTAGGTATTGGCCCATATGTTTTTATATTCCAACAGGAAAACTTTTAACAGCATCTTTCATGCAAAAACAATTCAAGAGGAAGTTTTAAACTGTGTCATTGAGATGTTTAAACAGTAGTAAGTGCTCAGACTATCTTGTTTACAATGAACTTAGCACTATCTGCAGCATCACAGCTCAGCAGACAGTGTTCTGCACTACAATTGGTTGGTAATGTTGAGCCACAGCAAATATTCTGTCATCAGGTTGTTTGTCAAAGAAAGCAACAATTTGAGTAATTATTGAGTTATTTCTATGCAAATTCAACTTTGAAGAGGTCTTTATTAAATATTCGGTATATCAGAAGCCATAAAAATGGTAATCTGTGAATCTTCTCATTGATAACCACCATCCTGTTTTTCTTCTAAATCCAAGATTTGTCTAGATCAGAAGAGGAGGAGGAAACTGTCTAAAAAATGGTCAGAAATGTAGCACCACTTTCATTCCATGTAACGCTTTTTAACTGTCTTAGTTTCTTTAAATATCCTAATGTTACCAAGGCCGCTGTATCCAGCCCCCATTCCCCAACCTTCACACCACAGTTGATAAGCTCACGGTCAACATGCCAGCCTTGAGACTGACCACAGCTTGCGGCATTAAAGAAAGAAGCTGGCAGCACCCGTCTGGCTCCAAGCTTGACAGCTGGACATATAAATCTCTATGGGGACAAACAAACAATCAAGTATGTGGCAACATTGTCAGATATGGCAACATTGGCAGTCAACACGCCTTGAACTGAATCCAGGGCTTCTTACGCTGGTTGAGAAGCACTCCATGCTTGAGCCAAAAGCAGATGAGGAGCCAGCAAAGATGGACTCCCAAAATGACTGCGCCAAACCCCTTTGTAAAAAATGCTGATTTAAGAAATAAAGATTAAAAACTCTAAAAAAAAACCCTGATTATTATAGTAGTACATAATCTGACTAAAGCTTAGTACTTGGTTTCTGAGGCACTCAAGCCTGGCCTGTTAAATAAGGGAAAGATGAAAGACTTTGGCTCTATCTTTGGAAGATATATCAGAAAAATAACAAAACACTCCTGTTTACCAATTTCACAACTATAATATCTTTGACAAGTATTTAAAATAACTATTATATAAAACACTGACTCAGTTGGAGCTGCAACAATGACTCTCAGTCTCTTGTCGACTGAGAGGGGGAAAAAAACATCTATATTCAATTTTAAAATCAATGAATTTGTCATTCATTTATTGCGCAAACATGTCAAACAAATGCTGGACTCAGCTCCTTATACTGCTCCTCCTAATTCCATCATCAAGTCCTGATGTTAAAATTAGACTGACCAGTTAAGTAGAATACTTTGCTGGTCCTGCTAATACCACACCGTGTATACTGTACGTTTACCTTTAATATTGTAGCCATACATCTGCTTTATTTGCTGTTGTTTGTTTGTTTGTTTGTCTTTCCATCTCTCTTTCTGCAAGCAGTCTCAGCAGATGGACGTTCAACATAAGTCTGGTCCTGCTCGAGGTTTCTACCTGGAAAAAGGCAGTTTTTCCTTGCCACTGTTACTTTGCTAAATGTTGCCAAGCGCTTTGCTCATGGAGGATACATTTCGGGTCTGTAAATATAATAAATATACCGCTTGAATCAGCGACTGAATTGTTCAGTAATGTAAATAATCCTTAGCTGCAGCCCTAAACTCAGTTAACTTAAGTTGCATCTCACTGTCAGAAAGCAATTTTTTTAAAAAGGTTTACTTACCCATTGTTTCGATCATGTTTAGATGTCCAGTTGGTTGTTGTTTGCACCCATTTACAACAACTCTTCCCTTATTTGTTACCTGAAAATGACAACATAATGGGTTAGCTCTTTTTCATAACAATCATATAGACCTGAATATCAGGGCACAAATTCCCTCCTCCATCAGGCACTCTTTTACAAACAGGAAGCAAGAATTGGAAAGCCTTATTCTCCTCTGAACTCAACTTCTTAAACACTCTCCACTGTAAAGGTCAACATGAAAGGAAAATGGATTTATTGCCTTTCAGTGAGGGACATATTTATCTCTTAAGAAGGCTTCACAATAACATCACAGAGGAACCATTGAGCTGAAGGACTGCAGGCTTTTTACTGTGTTTCCAGTGTGATGGTGCAGAGAGGCTGTTTGAACACAAACCCAATGCAGGTTTTTTTCCATTCTCGTTTATTAGGCTAATGCTTTTATTGATGGATTAACATTTGGTAATTTACGTTCCTGGGACTTTTTTCAGTAAATGTTGTACTAAGTTTTGCTTTGTACATGGCCCATCAGCAGGAAGAGTAAACAGGTTAGTCCATATTAACATCCACTGTGTTTGATAGGCAGATTGAAGCAGAAATAAACATTTCATGAACACAAAGCCTTGACACATAGCATCTTAACAAGCCAATAATAAAACATGAAGGTGTTAATGTCTCTTTTTATTTAACTAAGGCTCACGGTTAATGCTGGTGATGGCTGTCAACTCCCATCTCATGCACGTCATGACTTTAGAGGTGGCTATGTTTACAAGCATGTCATGAGCCAGGGAGACATTACACGATTAAAGGAGATTGGTGGGATAATTGAAAGCCCTGTATACAGTCTTAGAATAGCCTCAGTACATGTGGCAAACGGATCCCAGCAACATTCGTCTTGTTTACCTTTATTTAATTTGCTTTGTGTGTTTATTACTCTCAAAATAGAACAATGTTGCCCTAGATCATTTCATTTAGACCTGCAAATCATGATGCATTGTTTAAGTGAGTAAAAAAGGAACAGTAGTTTTTAGGTGTGCTGATTTTATCTAAATATTGCACTGATAATTTGCTGTAGAATTCCACACTTATATTTATATTACTTTGTCCCTGCTACTGCAACCCCTTTAAATGCATAAACACCTGAATGTAGCCTAGTTCAAATAACGAAATGCAATCCAGTTCAGGGAATGAACACATCGGTTGTTAGAATGCACATCAAAACATATACGATATTGGGCAACATTTGAAGCTTATAAATGGTGCATTCACGGATCTCTGTTTCATTTCTGTTTAAATGTAACACTGCTGGGGATCTAGGCTATTCTGAAGCGAGTAGGCTAGAAGGGATTCATTTAATTTGCACATAAACAAAGGCTCGTAATGATTCAATAAAGGGCCTTACGAACTCACTTTCATACAGTCTGCGCATCAATACTTTAAAGTAGCGTTTTTCTTCCAATATAATCGCCGGTAAAAAAATAAATAAATAAAAAATCTCATGTTAGCCTCAAAGAGCTAATTATAACAGGTTGTCAAATTTGTCGTGCAGCTCTTCTTCCCAAAGCAAAAACTTCGTGATAACGCGTTTGTTATGTTGACCGTCTGTTCATTGTTGATATAAACAACGCAGTTTGCTGGTATATTTTTGAATAAAGTCGCCATGGTACTTTGGGAAATCCGCTTTTCTCAACTCCTCCTCCTCCACCTTCTTCTTCTTCTTCTTCTTCCCCATCTCATGCGCGGAGCGAAACGAAGCAACAGGCTGCCGAGGGGGAGAAACTGTCGAAAAGTCAACGCAGCACTGGTTTGAGGCATAAAACGCCCACTTTAATGTGTGCAGAACATAATATGTATCCGAATACAGACGCTGGTAGTTGTTTGTATCCTGTTTTTTGTTTTTTTCTTGGCTGAGTGACCCACAGCGAGCAGACGCCTCTGAATGTTTCCCCTCTAATGAGCGACATTGTAGCCAAACAAAGGCGACCGCAAGAAGAGCCAAGGTTACTTTTACACCTCCAAATCCTCAATTACATGTCTTTAAATTAATCCAGAAATAATCACTTACGAGTGTGGAGCTTTACTTCCCTGACGGCCAGTCCCCTATCCTATCCACTGTTGTCCTGTGGTTAACGGCGCTCCGACTGGGGCTTAAAGATGGGGCGTAGTGTAACTCGAGCCTCAATGGACATTTTCAGCGGTAGCGGTGCAGAGAGTTAAGCTGGGACTGAAGCGCCGCTTGCTGGTTGCCCTGGAACCTAGGCCTCAAATATCAGGCCTGGCTCCTGGACCCAAAACAATTACCATTGTAGTTGGCTATATGTGCCTTTCTGTTGGTAGTTTAGTCAAATAGCTATAAAACTGCAGTAACCTGACAGCTTGTTCTTTACCAATCACAATAAGGCCTTAAGACCCTTAAGTCCTGGCATCAATGCAGGATATGTTTAAGTTCAGTTTTAAGAGTCTACCTGAGGAGAATTGACCAGTGTGTCACAGGTGCAGTAGTGCATTGTTTTGCACGTCCTTGAGCAAAATGCAAAGCTCTGTAAAATATGAAAAGGAAGAATAATCGTTCTCTTTTTGTTGAGTCATTGCTGAAAAGATAATCCATACTTGAATCCTTAATGCAGGCTTCATTCTTGGCAAAATTGACATGAACTTGTGTTGGGATTCACATTCCATGAATAACTTTTCTCTCCTACCATTTCTTTTGCTGCTGTAGTTTTTGAAAAAATACGTCTTTGGGGTGAATCAGGCACATTGGTCAGGCAGGAATTGTATGCCTCATCCTGCTATAACACGAGTAAGCATTCTGAAAACGCACTTAGTTCAACTGGAGGGGGCAAAGCGCTGTGCTTATAAATGTCGTCTCGAACTGAATGCACACATCCTGAACTTGTCAGATAATCATTAATACTCTGCACTATTGGTGCAGTTTGATTACTGATGGAGAGTAAAATATATTTGCAATCTCAGAAAGCACCTTGGAAAGGACACAGGATGCTGATAGAACCAGAATTCCTGTTTATAGGATTATGCACTCCATTTCAGGCGGCAAATCGCCATGCTTATCAAATTTGATACGAGCTGTTACTCAAACTGAAATGCACACTGTTATAGAGCTGTTGCCTTTTAAGTCATGACTCAAATTTAACAGCATCAATAAAGTAATACTCTGATTATTTATCTCAGGTACTTTGCAGCTCAGGTAGATTGCCACGAACTGTCCATTTACCCCACTGACCACTGAACTTTAAAAATAGCAAACTTCAGAACTTTTACATTTCATGGATCAAGACATCCAGACAAGAGCTGGGTCACTCTGTAAGAAGTCATTTCAACAAGGAGGAAAGGGATACAAGCAGCTTTCACAGAGCTGATACCGACTAAATCCCTTCACCATTTATATCTTTGCTTCTACCTCCTTCTTATCCACACAGTAACTTCCCTCTTACTTTGACAATAAGCCACTTTTATGTGGGAGGTCTGACTCAGCCAAAGACGAGAGATTGGAACAAGAAAGAAAAGAAAATGAACCATTTCAGCTCAGCACTGGGCATCTGAATCTTTTTTTTTTTTTTTTTTTTTTTAACCTGCCAATCAAAGGCAGTAGTCATATTTTAAGACACGAGACATGACATCTGTGACTGGATCTAGGGGTCAATTCACACCTTCTTTGTACTTAACCCTTTACAATTGCCCAATGCTTTGTTTAATCTGAAGCTTAATAGGTTCATATTGTTGGTGTTTTGTGTGCTACAAATGTCATTTATCTATTCCGTGTGGCCAGTGTGAGATGTTCTCTGTGACAACAGGTGTAACTCATTACATTAATGAAAGCAGTAAATTAAAAAAAAGTGAAGCGCACCGAAATGGCATAATGACATGATTAACACAATTAGAAACACCTGTGTGTGGTTTGTACAAACTATAAATAAACATCATTTCTTCTCAAATGCATTTCAGAAAATTAAATCTGTTTTTTTTTTTTGAAAGCACCAAATCACAAGATGAGTTTAGATGAAGCAGGTCTAGACCATATCCTTTTGAGAAAAGTTCCTTTCACAGGCAGAGATGTTGAGCAGAATCACACCGATGAACACCATTCTGCAAGTCCATACTTTACCATTGCAGCTAAAGCTATCAAGCTAAAGTAATATGCATGTTCTGTAAGATGGGAACATGTACAAATATTTTGTACAACAACCTTAGTTCTTAAGTGACGAATGGATACTTGAAAACTCTAAACACAAGTACGGAAAGGACGTTTTTGTAAGTAGTTTCTTTCCACCGTCAGCTGTTTGAATGGTCTATTACGGAAGAGGATTAGGGCAAGGCATGGGAAATATATAATGAGAGGTGGAATCTTCAGACAGAAATGTCCTATTTCTTAACATTTTGACTTTATTCTCAACGTGTTCTGGCCCCTCTTGGCAAACAACATTTCAGCATTATTCTCGACATTTCGACCTTTATTGATATTTTGATTTTAGTCTGAAAAATTGTATTAAAACTTAATTTCTCAACATTTTTATTTATTTTTTATCTTCATTCTCTAAACTTTTACTTTTTTTATTAAAGTGCATAATGAACAAAATCTTCCTCCCAATTGTCTCCTGTAATCTAGAGATGGTTGATTGGAGTTGCAGCTAACACTGGACAGTTGTCATCTATTCGATAATTGCCAACTTTTTTGATCATGGATTTTGTGTATTTTTTCTTTGAAGAAGTAATCTTACACTTCAGTCTCATAAAATCAAATATCCTCTGTTTTTTTCCCTCTACTGTGACAGAAAAATGAATATTTGTTGTCCACAAATGAAAAAAGACAGCTGGAAATGTTCCTCTGTGAATTTGGAAAAACGGATTTTTTATTTTCTCCATCATTTATCATGCAGACCAAACAACAGTGATCAGATTTGTCAAACCCAATCACAGCTTATACATTGTGCTAGTCACGTTAGCACACTTAGCTTGCAGGGCTTGATTGCAATTTAAAGTGGGGATTAAAAGTGGAAGTGATTACTCAAGGTCATCGTGATGTAGCAGTGTAATGACAACCTTCTCAGCCATAATAAATGACATTGTTGTACCAGTACCTCATAGTTTCTTTGACAGAACTTTGCTTTATTGGATACCAGTTAGCTGTATGAAGTCATATAGTGTAATAAAGAATAAAACCCCTGAAGGAATCGCAAATTCAATGACTGAGCCATATTGGCAGGGGCAAAGCTGGCATTGTCTGCCGTTCTTGAGTTATTGCCAATAAATCCATCAACATTCAAATAGCCTTTGAAACGGTGACATCCCAATTGATGTAAAAGGGTTCACAGAAAGAATGAGACATTGTGATTTTCATACGATAGGACAAGGTGGAAAATAATGAAATAATAATCACTTAGTACAAGGGGCCTCCTGGTTTTATGAAGACAATCTCTCTATTGCATTTGACCACAATTTATAAGACTGCTTTAAACTTCATCTAGGTAATTTAATGTTGAGCCAATTATTCTTAATCCTATTCATCAAAAATGAACAACGCAAGGTTTCAGAGTTGGAGTTTCACAGTTATCCTGATGCTAGCGCCAAAGATCATTTCAGATAGTGTCAGAAGGTCTTGAGGGTCAAAGAATTTAAAAAGTGATAGTTTGGCTATGTTGTGTAGTATGTATGTTGCAAGGGTCATAGGTGATCAATAAGTCTCTTACTGGAGGGAATGTGAATTGGCAGATTGAATTTAACGTTAGGGGTCTAGGGTCAGCGTTTGGAGGTTTTGGAAACGTTTGTTTGCTTGAAGTTTGAGAGGTCATGTATCAAAATCAACAATCTTGTGCATCTTTGGAGCAGGAATGTCAACACCAAATGTCATGTCAATCCAGATAGTAATATTAAATCAATTATACACAATCCTCGTGCACACAGTTTTGGTATTGAACCTTAAAAAAATCAAAGTTACTCCTATTATCATAAAATGTGCAGTCCAAATCTGGTTGTTTTTGTCGTCCACATTTCACAACAAGCTAAGAAAGAGCGTCCTGAAGAGTTGTGTTTATCTGTCATGATGATTTTATAATTTGGTGTTGCTTGTGAAAATGCCTGTTAATTGCAAAGGAAATGACACCCATGCTGAATGTGTGACAGGGTGGAAAAAAAAAAAAGTGATGCCAAGAATCTCTGCGAGAAGTGTCTTCTTTGTTGATGACTGATGTTTCATGTAGCGATGCACATGACCACCTGCATACTTGCCCAGCGTTTTTGGACAGCCAGATGAATTTAGACTCATTAAATAGGACACAATAAATTACTGTGATCATGTACCATAGCACCACATTTGATATGTTTGTTTTTTTCAAGTGCAATGAAAAAAAAAGATGATTTATTAATTATCATTAATAAATCTGTAAACAATTATTGTCTTCTGACAACATTGCACAACCCATGTGGCCAAAGAAACATTATTAAGAATTTGATCGACGTCGGTACAAAAGTTTTTAAAGCGGATCAGTTTGACTGTAGGGAGAGGTTTTCAGTCCCCATAACCTTCATGTTAGTCTGCACCAAACCAGCGTGCTCAGATTTGAACTGAACAGAGAGATTACTGTACCACGCTGACATCCCGTACCTGAGGATTCTCTGCAACAAAAGCTGATAAAACAAAAACATGATCTTCTGATCAACACCATACACCCTGAGTCTATGTAAAAAATACGAGAACACAAATGATCAACATTAGTTTTCCAGCTAAAACAGGTTATCTAGGTCTATACCAATATATCTGTAGGAGCTGAATTAGTTGATTCTTTTTTGTCATTTTAAAAAAACAACAACTGGGAAACAAGTGCTGAGGGACGCTTTCAGACTGCTAATTTAAGCAATGTGGATGCTAGTTGTTAACCGGGTACAGGTGGTCATCATGGCGCCTAACATACAGGGTAATGTGGGCATAGGGTGCCCTCTCTGTTAAAAGCAGAGTACAGTGCAGCATTCAGGTTTGCACAAAGAACAATATTTTCTAAATTCATATATGCTCTTTATGCTGGCTGATGATTTGGATTATAGTTGTAAGTGGGTTTTTTTTATATACCCTTTGGGTGCATTAGATTTTGTCCATATATAATTGTGCTTATGTTTTACATTTAGTAACA